CCTAAAAATCCTAATGTTCAACCCTAAGAACCCTAAACCGCCTAAACCCCCCCCAAAACCCTCCGACAGTCCGAGACCTCTATAAACCCTATAAACCCTAAGAACCCTGAACCCTATAAACCCTATAAACCCTATAACCCTAAGAACCCTAAGAACCCTAAGAACCCTAAGAGCCCTGAACCCTAAACCCCCCCAAAACCCTCCACAAGTGTCGGTGGCCGACTGTGGCTTGAAGAGGAGGTCCAGGATCAGATCCCGCTGTTTGGCAGGGTAGTCCTAGGGAGAAGTTTAGGGTTTAGGGTTTTTAGGGTTTTTAGGGTTTAGGGTTTAGGGTTTCGGGTTTCGGGCTTAGGGGTTCTTTTGGTTTTTTGGGAGTAAGATGCTTCGCCTAACCCAATCTAGGAGTAGTCGCAGCATTCCTATGGGAACTTCCGAGAATAGGGGGTGCCCCTCATATACCGGCAAAATGCGATCATCCTGTTAAGGAACCCCAAACAGGGTACCCTGTTTGCGGAACCCCCCCCCCCCCTTGAGTTCGACTTCTGGATTCCTACAATAGGGTTTAGGGTTTAGGGTTTAGGGCTTAGGGTTTAGTGGGGAGGCTGCAAAGTCTGGGGAGACGGGGCTGATTTCTGCAAACTGTGAGATCTCAACGGCCTCAAGCCGAAAAGTTTCAAAGCTCACTCTGTCAGGGTTTAGGGTTTAGGGTTGAGGGTTGAGGGTTCAGGGTTTAGGGTTTGAAGAAGATGACGTCTGCATGGCTTCAGAAATCTGAAGAAACAGAATAGTGGCGGTAACTGATAATCATCAGCTTCATATGCACGTACCCATGAGCCCCCGAGTTAAAACCCTCAGCAGATAACCCAGGCCACCTTGCATCAAACCCTAAACCCTAACAACCCAAAACCTCTACCTATGAATATTCAAACCTCAACGAAACGTTTTACCCTAAACCCTAAACCCTAAACCCTAAACCCTAACCCTAAACCCTGGGGCTTTTTTGAGCCCTGATAGTAGACCCCCCGGCCAGTGGGTTCTCCTGAGAACCCATCCTGAACACCGTCAGGCTTCACACTAAAAAAACCTGCACCCTTGTTCTGGTCTAAATCAAGGTCTAGGGTTTAAGGTTTAGGGTTTAGGGTTTAGGGAAAGGCTTTATGAAAGAGGAAGTTTCTGGAAGCACGCATGTGAGTAGTGCCGAGTCAAGCAACAAAAATGGATGAACAAACTCAAACGGAAAGGGGTTCTTGGAGGGTGGGGTGATGCAGATTGCACCATTTCAATTAGTGTGGTAAAGGGGACTTGCGAATCGCCACCCAGGCGTATCGTAAACCCTAAACCCCAAACCCTAAGCCCTGAACCCTGAACCCTAAACCCTAATCCCCAAACCCCAAACCCTAAACCCCAAACCCCAAACCCTAAACCCCAAACCTAAACCCCAAACCCTAAACCCCAAACCCCAAACCCCAAATCCTAAACCCCAAACCCCAAACCCTAAACCCCAAACCCCAAACCTAAACCCGAAACCCTAAACCCCAAACCCTAAACCCTAAACCCCAAACCCCAAACCCTAAACCCCAAACCCCAAACCCTAAACCCCAAACCTAAACCCGAAACCCTAAACCCCAAACCCTAAACCCCAAACCCTAAACCCTAAACCCCAAACCCCAAACCCCAAACCCTAAACCCCAAACCCTAAACCCTAAACCCCAAACCGGCCTGCAGCAGCCTCGAGGATGCACCCGCACTCAGGGCACCGATGCCCTCGAAGGGGTGGCGGTCCCCCTGGCTTCTCTTCACTTTTGGGGGGGTTTAGGGTTTAGGGTTTAGGTTTGGGGTTTAGGGTTTAGGGTTCAGAGGTTTCGGCTTTGGGATTTGGGCCCCCAGTCGGGTTCTAGGTCCTTATAGGCTGGCCCTTTGAGACACCCCTTCTTTGCATCCGGGCTATGATGTCTTTTCTTAGCACGGACTGAGGAGACCCCTAGACCCTAAACCCTAGCCCAAAACCCCAAAAACCAAAATTCCCTTCAACCGGTTAGGGGCGGGGGGGGGGGGGGGGGGGGGCTTCTTTCAGAGGGATTTTCAAGGTTCGTAACCCTCCGACCTTCGTGGGGCTCATTACAGGGGGCTTTAGAGGGTTTGAGGGCCCCATAGGGTTTAGGGTTTAGGGTTTAGGGTTTAGGGTTTAGGGTTTAGGGTTTAGGGCTTGTGCCCAAACGCTGAACCCTATACACCCTAAAGCATAAACCCTAAGCCCGTTCGCCTGGGCATCCCAAAGAAGCTCCCTGCCGACTCGTCAACGCATGCGATGAAGCCCGAACCGTATAAATACAGATATCAAAACTTGAAGTGAACATGAAGACAAAGCATATGCACGTATAGATGTATCCATACTGGTATGAATAGAAGGGTACAACAGATACATATATATATATATACATACATGCATACATACATACAGACATACATACATACATATGTAATGTTATATGGTATCAATAAATAAATAAATATAAGTAAAAGTACACATGTATATATAATACGTATGGATATCCCCCAATCCCACCTCGAGACCCTCCTCTACGGCGACATCGTGCAGCGACCTGGCGGCAGCCGGTCTTCGGGATGGGGGCTTATGTTGTGTGCAGAGATTCTCCAAAAATGGTTCTGGCTTCCAGACTTCTTGGAGTTTTGCAGATGGAGGGTCGGGGCAAAACCCTCAACTCTATACCCTAAACCCTAAGCATCCTAGCAAGTTTCACCTCCAACTTCTAATACGCAGGCCGTGTCCCGCGCCTGGCATCTCCTTGCGCGATCGACGAGATAGGTGCCTACGCACAGTTTTGGCAGGCTTGCGGCACAGGGTTAGTTGAGGGTTTAGGATCTCATGAAATGCTTCTTTAGCAGCTGAATTGGGATTACACTTGCAATTGCACAATCTCGCGTACAATCGGCAAGGCACGAGCCGGGATTGCTGGAAGTCAGGCAAGATACCCCATGACACAGCATTTGACCTTGAGGCATGGGATCCCCGATCCGCCCCCCTCAATCTCTGAGATGCGGCCCACCTCCGACTGGTTTCTCCAAAGTTTGGCCGCGAAAGCCTGGCTGCTCTTCGGAGGCAGGGTAGCTGCTCGTGAGGATGGGACATGGCGCCCGATATGGTTTCAGAGTGCTGTACATGCGGCACCGAAGAGCTATGCATGTTTATAAGTGTGGGACATGGGATCCCGCTTGAAACTAGGGGGGAGGTGCTAGGGAGGGGGGTGTTGCATGTTTCGGCCCGGAACATGACTCCCATGATGAAGCAACGCTTGCTGAAATACCTCTTGCCACAGTGCTGGCACCAAGACCTTTCCCCCGACCCAAGCTATGCAGCATGCGACTGGGCCAAGCGCAGCTCTTTCTCTGCTCGCGTTCTGCCAGATGGACATGGGGGATTCTCTGAATCATGGGGGCCCTGCTTGGGTTCCCTGCTTTCTGAACCCTAAACCCTAAACCCTAAACCCTAAACCCTAATCCCTAAACCCTAAACCCTAAACCCTAAACCCCCGTATGAGAATGGGAACCCGAAAGTATAACGTCTTCGAGAAAACCAGCTCTGAGCGGCTCAGCCCAGGTGATACCCCAGCCACTGCACCCTTGCGCAGGTCGTGCATGCTGGCATCACTTCTGACCAACCAAAAGGCGCAGGGCCAGGACGTGGGCTGCACGATTCTCCTGTGGAAGGCCACATCCTGGCTCATAATCCCACCTTCCTTGCCAGGGAACTGCAAACTCAGATCTCCACGCGCACCCGGGTTCCTTCAGAAACCGAGCGCCCGGCTCGAGCGGCCTCATCTAATGCCGCTCGCAAAAGGGAAAGCCGGTCGAACGAAAAGCGCGCGGCGCTGCACTTCTGTTGATGTGATTTCCGTGTTTCATTTTTGCTTCTTTTGATTATTCTTACTTTTGGGGGGCGGGAGGGTTTAGGAATTATTTAGGAATTAGGATGCTATAGGTAGGGTTTAAGGCATCCATCACTAGCCACTGTCACTTGTCGAGGCCTTCTATGATCTTCTATGCCCCGAAACCCTAAACCCCAAACCCTTTAGGATGGGTGAGAGGCATGGACATCATCAGCCGTGCGCCTCGAAGGCCGCGCGACAAGATCGCAGGAAGTTCCATGTTGCTTACTGTTGGTTAGTAGGGAATGAGGGAATGAGGTACCCTATAAATGTATCCTATATCCCCCTATATGCATATGCATATATATATATGTATATATACATATATATGTAATACCCTTTAAGGGATTATATAGGGTACCACATTCCTTCATTCCCTACAAACCAACAGTAAGGTTATGCTGTCTTGCGAGGTCTTGCAGTGCTTGCTTTCGGAAAAAAAACTCGCACACCAGGCACAGCTCATGGAGCCGTTGGAAGCGTGGTGCTCCCGTTTCGGAATGAAGCTGGTTGTGCAAGATAATTTGTGCAGATTTGTGCCAATCGGCATGTGCCGGAGCTGGCAGGTTGAGGGCATCCTAGAACTCGGGCATTGGGGTGTTCAGCGCTACTACCTTACTACATTGCTCCAAAGGGAAAGCTGCATCAGTCTAGGGTTTAGGGTTTAGGGTTTAGGGTTTAAGGTTTAGGGTTTAGGGTACACAGACACCCAAACGAACTACGGTTTGGAGGACTTAGCAGATGCATTTGCGCTCACCGGACAGCGACGAAGACTCCGTGTCGGAGGTGGTTCGTGTGCTGGCCTCCTTAGTCAGACAGCAGGGGATCCGCAGTATGGGCCCAAATTAATTTTGGGTCCCCAGTTTAAATAAGCGTTATATGTCACTATACATAGCAAGGGCCCATGGCTCCAACCTTAGAGACACAGGAACTTGCGGAAGTTGAAAAAATTACTATGGGGTTAGAACGCTGACTCTTGCACACGGCTGGCAAGGAAGCAAGAGGATTTCTTGGGGCGAGCGCGTGCTGAGACCTGTCCACCAGGTTGTTTGAGCCTGGCCCCTATAGCCTACATATGCTTCAAAATTAAAGGCGCCAGGGATTGGGAGAAAATGCACCGAATTCGGAGGGGCGGTTTGCTGGTTCTTCGAGTGCCACCTTGTCACTGAGTAAGTGCCTGACTTGCCAGAAACTTTCTCCGCCGACACCGGGGTTCGCAGCATTTGTCTTCTCATATCGCGCATGGCTGGAGGACGGTTCAGTGTGCACGGTATGTGCCCGTTCGGGCAATAGCAGCAGACACGTGCCTGGTGTTACCTTTGCATTTGCACCGTCCCCGCAACGTCCAGTCAAGGAGGCCCATTGATTGAAGAGCATCCCTAAACCCCAAACCTCAAACCCTAAACCCTAAACTTTAAACCCTACACAGAAGAATCACATTGCCCCAGCATGAAGCCCTTCAAGCTCAAAGCCTTGTGATTTCACTAGCCGAATGGGCCCATGCGCCCATGCCGTAGATGAGTTGGGCTTCGAAGGAGCTCCGTAGTAGCTTTAGGGCCCAAGTGTATACACTCCATACTCTCATGTAGCCCTACACCCTAAACCCACCTAAACCCTAAACCCTAAACCCTAAACCCTAAATACTTTGGGGGATCTCTGAGTCGAGGCTCAGTCGTGGTCTCGTTCTCGATGTCACTATCTGATACTGCAGAATTGCAAAGTCCCACCGAAGCTGCCGCGAGGGTTGTGCAGAAGGCCTTGGAGTGCAGCAGGGTTTGGGGCTTCTTGGTAGCCCCGTTTAGGGTTTAGGGTTCAGGGCTTTTTTTGTTGCCACCCGCCTAGGGTTTAGGGTTTAGGGTTTAGGGTTTAGGGTTTGGGGTTTGGGGTTTAGGGTTTGGGGTTTGGGGTTTAGGGTTTAGGGTTTAGGGTTTAGGGTTTAGTTTGCCACCCGCCTAGGGTTTAGGGTTTAGGGTTGAGGGTTTCGGGTTTAAGGGTTTAGGGTTTAGGATAGAAGCCCTATAAGCCCTAAATAGGGGTGTCCGAAACTAGGATTACCTTATTGGGGTCCTTACTATAAGGGAATCCTTCGTTTTCGGGGTCTATTTTAGGAGTCCCCTATTTTCGTAAACCCCCATATTCTAATAAGGGTGCCCTTCTTTGACTTTACAAGGGAACCTTGAACCAAAAAAAAACGGACAAGGAGACCACTGCGCTACCAAGGCTTATAGGGTTTCGGGACTGGGGCCTAGGGTTGTAACGGAAAACAAAAGTGAGCGTGACAAAAGCCATGCCAAAAATCGTAACAGAAACTAAACAGCATCAGCCCGAAAGCATGGAATCCCAAATCCCCAAACACTAACCCTAAACCCTAAACCCTAAACCCTAAACTCTAAACCCTAAACCCTAAAACCCTAAACCAGGCAGACGTGGAACAGAAGCCCCAACGGAAACAACGGAAACCTTCAAGCAAAACCACGACGAAAAGGTTGCACGGGAGGACGGTTTAGGGTTTAGGGTTTGGGGTTTAGGGTTCTGCCATGCTTCAACCCCAAACACTTAACCAACACCCAGCACCCCGACCGTGAGCCTAGGCTTTGTGCTTCTACGTTGATAATCGTTGACAGTTGAAGTGACCTCAAACCGAGGGCGCTTCTGGCCGCTGGCGGAATAGACGGGAACATGTGCATTGGTGCCAATTCGCCTACGGAGTGTAATGCAGCATATTGCTGTCAGACGAGCTGCACTTCAAAACCTGTGTAATCAGCCCCAGAAAGTGGAGACTGGCATGCAATGCCCGACGTCCCGACTCAGGGAAAAACCACGTGTGGGAGAAAAACCCTGCGCCGCGGGCACGACGCGACTCGACGCATTGACTGAGGCGCGAAACAAGGACAAGTGGCCCCGATCAGCCAAAGAAAGAAACAAGAGGGGACCGGCTGTACTTGGCCCAGCATCAACGACATGAACGGGGGCACAATGCTACTCCACAACGAGTAACGATGTACCTCCTGGTCAAGGCGCGCCAGAGCCCGCGGGGCAGGCAACCCCCGGCCCTCTCAACCCCATGCAGGGATGAGCAGAGTCCCAGCCCAGGAGCCGCGGGGCCCCCTCTCCCCCACTCTACGCAAGGGAGCAGGCGCAGCATTCTTTGAGATGGTCAGGGCTCGGCCAAGCCTCCCACACCACCGGCCTCCCCAGCGGGCAGTCTCCGCAGCACCGCTCTAGCATTTTCGCGCAGCAGACAGACGCTCAGGCTCTGCTGTATCTGCTCAGCCACAATCCCGACCTGCTCGCCGGACCGGGCTGCGGCAAGTGGTGCGAGGGCACGGATGGTGTTGATGGCGGTGGGGCCAAGACCTCCGCCGCAGGCCTCAAAGATGATGGGTAAGAACTGGAGGCCCTGCTCCCGGCACTGACTGTCAGTTGCCTGGTGTGACCGCTTCCTGGACCGCATCCCGCTGGTGACCGCCAAGCCCAACGCTGCCGGACCCTTCAACCCCCACGCCGGGAGGTAAACGTCTGCCGGCCGGCGCCCAGATTGACCCGGGCGGCCAGCCTCGCAGGCGCCACCATCTTCCGGGCGAGGGGGCAGGAGGTCGGACTTCTCGAGTTCAGGAGCCAAACCGGCCGCGTCGCAGCGAACTGCGAGGAGGTTGCGCTGCCGGTTGTGCCTCTTGACCCGATCGCCCCCCGCAGGAGCAAACAAGGGCATGGTGCCCGAAGCGGTCAAGGCCTTGTGCTTATTATTATTATTATGATTATTATTATTATATATATATATATATATATATATATAATATAATATATATATATGGGGTTCAGAATTCAGGCTTGAGGGTTAAGGCGTCACGGAGCTGGTAACCCAGAAGCACTCCAGGCAGGTTTTGCGAGCCAAGATTTCTGATACAAGCCGCCGATTTCTGCGACAGACTTTCTTTAGGGCTTTTTGGGTTTTGGGTTCTTAGGCTGTTTAGGGGTTGAGGGTTTCAGGGTTCATATAGGGCTTCAGGTTTCTAGGGTTTTGGGTTCTTAGGGTGTTTAGGGGTTGAGGGTTTCAGGGTTCATATGAGTTTTGGCTGCCCTTTTGCAACGGGCCTTTGGGCCCCGACTTGACGAAACAGATGTGCTGACACGCGAGGGGCCAACTACTCTGACGACTGAATACCCTAAACCCTAAACTCTCAACCCTAAGCCCTACATACCCTTTGAGGTTTAGTGATTTCGGAAGGACGGGCTGCCCTCTGAAAACTTCGATAATGCTGTCGGGTGTCGCCGACTGATGTGCCCACCAAGGCCTGGCTGCGAGATGGACAAACAGGGTAAACCCTAAACCCTAAACCCTAAACCCTAAACCCTAAACCCTAAACTTGTGCGGGGCAGGAGCACGCAGAAGCTGAGGGCTGTCTTAGGCCTGTCCGTGGTCCCTGCAGTTTGCTGCTTCTGTGTGCAGGACCCTAAACCCTAAACCCCAAACCCCAAACCCTAAACCCTAAACCCCAAACCCAAAACCCAAAACCCTAAACCCCAAACCCTAAACCCTAGCCCTAAACCCTAAACCCTAACCCCTAAGCCCTTGTATCGCAGAGGGGACTTGCAGCTCAAGGGGCCGTGAGCAAGGCAAAGGCCAAGGCTTTGTGCCGGTCGAAGCCGAGGTGGTACTCCACGAAGTCCTTGGGATGAAAATGGGGTTTAGGGTTTAGGGTTTAGGGTTTGGGGTTCAGGGTTTAGGGTTCAGGGTTCAGGGTTCAGGGTTTAGGGCTCAGGGTCCCCGAAGTCCTTGAAACGCCCAAACTGCTAAGTGGAGAAGTTTTATGAAACCCCTTAGGGTAGTTCCATGGCTCCCGAGTCTGGCCCTTAACACGGTAACCCTCGTATACCCCTTTTTAGACCTTGCCAACTTAAGCGGAAGGTTCTATGTGAAGCCACTTCTAAGTCCTAAGGGTTCCGAAGTATGGGGCCCTCAATTTTGGGTCGATTTGTTCTATAACCCTTATATAACTCTTGTAAAGAGTTTAGGGTTTATATAACCCTTTTACAACCTTATATATATATATATATGATATATGATATATATATATGGTCACCCCCCCCCCCCCTCGACAGACCCCGGAAGTATATTTCCGATCTGTTCAGGAAGGGGGCGGGGGGAAGAGCACCACTCCAAAATTCCTCGAGTTTCCAAAAATCCAAAAATCCAAAAAAACCCAACCCAAGTTTCGGATTTTTGGAAACTCGAGGAATTTGCTCAAAATCCAAAAAAAACCCAAAATTCCTCGAGTTTCCAAAATCCAAAAATCCAAAAATCCCAACCCAAGTTTCGGATTTTTGGAAACTCGAGGAATTTGCTCAAAATCCAAAAAAACCCAAAATTCCTCGAGTTTCCAAAAATCCAAAAATCCAAAAATCCCAACCCCAGTTTCGGATTTTTGGAAACTCGAGGAATTTGCTCAAAATCCAAAAAAACCCAACATTCTTCGAGTTTCCAAAATTCCAAAAATCCAAAAATCCCAACCCCAGTTTCGGATTTTTGGAAACTCGAGGAATTTGCTCAAAATCCAAAAAAACCCAAAATTCCTCGAGTTTCCAAAAATCCAAAAATCCAAAAATCCCAACCCCAGTTTCGGATTTTTGGAAACTCGAGGAATTTGCTCAAAATCCAAAAAAATCCAAAATTCACCCGAGTTTCCAAAAATCCGAAACTGGGGTTGGGATTTTGGGATTTTTGGAATTTTGGAAACTCGAGGAATTTTGGGTTTTTTTGGATTTTGAGCAAATTCCTCGAGTTTCCAAAAAATCCGAAACTGGGGTTGGGGTTTTTGGGTTTTTGGAATTTTGGAAACTCGAGGAATTTTTGGTTTTTTTGGATTTTGAGCAAATTCCTCGAGTTTCCACAAATCCGAAACTGGGGTTGGGATTTTTGGATTTTTGGATTTTGGAAACTCGAGGAATTTTGGGTTTTTTTGGATTTTGAGCAAATTCCTCGGGTTTCCAAAAATCCGAAACTGGGGTTGGGGTTTTTGGATTTTTGGAATTTTGGAAACTCGAGGAATTTTGGGTTTTTGTGGATTTTGAGCAAATTCCTCGAGTTTCCAAAAATCCGAAACTTGGGTTGGGATTTTTGGATTTTTGGATTTTTGGAAACTCAGGTTTTGGTGAGATTCTTTTAGGGGTTCTACACTCATGAGAAATATGAAATATATTAAAAACACAGAGAGCTATGCTAGCAACAGCTACTGGAGTTGCTTACGGAAGAGTTTTTCAGGGGTTCTTATATGATTCCTTATTATGTTTTAGGCCGCCTATAAAATTTAATAATACTCCTGTTCACTTTAACGGGAGTCCTTATTTAATTAATAAGACTCCTAATCATTTTACTAGCATTCTAAGTGATCTTCAATGGCAATGGGATTCCTGTATTTGTTTAATGGGGTTCGTATTAGATTTTGAAGGATGCCTGTTAAAGGACTTTACTGGGTTTAATATTGATTCCTATTCATTTTAATCAAATGCCAAATAATTGGAATACGATTCTGAGTAATTGTAATGGCATTCTTCTTCCTAGTTAGTTTTAATAAAAGTCTTAGAACTTTAATAAGCTTCATAACAAGTTTTATACATATTCCTATTAATTTCAATAGGCTTCTTATTCATTTTCATAAGATGTCTTACCATTTCTAATTGGGTTCCTTTTGCTTTGACAAGCTTCCTATTCATTTAAAAAGGCTTCTGGTTAATTGGAATAGGCTTCGTATTCATTTTAACAGGGTTTCTCATTCATGTTGACAGGATTCCTAATAATGTTCATAGGATTCCTACTAGATTCCACAGTGCTCCGATTATGTGTTTAAATCCTGTTCCCTATTCATTTCAATTGGACTCGAAGTAATGTTATTGTAACTCTCATTTGTTTTATTAGCAATCCTGTTAATTAAATTTTTCAATAGGGTTTATTATAATTCTAACAGTACGACTCTTATTGTTTTAAGTTTTGAAGGGTCCACATTACTTTTTTTATAGAATTTTATTGGCTCCTCTTAATCCTTTATAGGATTCATCTTCATGTTACACGGATTCCTGTTACTCTTGAAAAGAATTCATAGATTCTTTTGTAGGGTTCCTATTAATTTTAATAGCATTCCTATGAACTCAAAAGGGTTCCTATTCATTTGAATGGCCTTCCTATGGTTCCTCTGAATTTAGGACGCCAAGAAAGTTTAATAGGAGCTTCTACGTATTTCAACCAGGTTCTTATTAATTGTACTAGGATTCTTACGAAGTTTTCAAAAAAGACTCGTCTTAATTTCAATAGGGTTCTCATTCATTTTAATGGGGTTCCTATTGATTTAAATAGGATTCCTATTGAACTTATACGAAGCCTATGAATCCTAATAAACTTAATAGGAACCCAAGTAAAACTAAGAGCAATCTTATTAAAATTAATAGCAATCCACGATGTCGAGCAAATTGTTCAGGTCCTTACAGCATGCGTCCTTCTCACATCTGTCTGCATCTTTCATTGCGAACACAAAGCCGTACTAATCGAAAAAAATATGCTCTATTGTGTGTTAACGGGTCTGGCTACTGTGTGCAGCTATGCTGTCCGTCGCGCCCTCAGCCTTTTTTTGCTTCCGGGGTCTGTCGAGGGGGGGGAGGTGAGCATATATATATATATATAACCTTTATAAAGGGTTCCGACCTTTGAAACTTCGCAACAAGATCGCCCTTCGGCTGCGTTCGTGGCCAAGTTGCCATCGCAAGCTGTGGGAGTAAAGGTCCTGGAGATGCCGACGTTGTCATGAGCTAAGGAGGGTTCAACCCTAAACCCTAAACCCTAAACCCTGAACCCGAAATTTGCAAACAGGTGGACGTTCGGCACACGTCTGCAGCTTTTTTGGGACCTGCGGCCAAGGCGCCCATCGCAAAACCAAGCAGGTTGTTAGCACCTTCAATGAGAAGGAGGTGTCTTCAAGGGCACCTAAGATAGGGGCCTGAATAAGTAGAATAGGTTTTTTTTTTGGGGGGGGGGGGGGGGGGTTACTATAGTATATTTCTAAAGGGGCCCTTGAGGGAATACTATTAGCAAGTATTCCGACCTCTATATTACCAAGCACCGCATTTTGGCAGCAGCTCTATACTGTGACCTTTAGACACACTTCGTCCAGGCAAACAGCCGGGAAAAGGCGGAATCTGGGACCGAAAAGACAAGCAGCCCGCAACACCATACGACCCTACACCCTAAACCCTAGACCCTACACCCTAAACCCTAAACCCCATGCTAGGTAAGAGTCTCCCTCATGGCATCCTCTCAGCCAAACCAAAAAGAACCTTTCCTTGGGGACCAAACGAACCCTAAAATTGGGGTCATATACCCTATACTACTATAATCCCTAGTCAGGTATACCCTAAACCCTAAACCCTAAACCCTAAACCCTTTTAGGGTTCATTAGGGTTCTCACCTTGGCTCAAGCCCGTTGCGAAGCTGCGGAGGCCAGGCTCCTCCACCTGAAAGTGAGAGAAGCATCGGGTCTGCTACATGGTCGTAGATGCGTATGATATATATATATATACATATACATATACATATACATATACATATACATATACATACATATATATATATATATATACATATATATATATGTACATATACACACACTTATTTACTTACATATATATATATATATGTATATATGTATATATGTATATATTGACTTATTTTTCATGTATTCTTACATATTGTGATGATGTTTACTGTTCCTTTATGCTCCTTTTACTATAAAATGTATGTATACGTGTATGTCTGCCTGTGAATGCATGTATGTGTGTGTGCGTTGAAATTGCACTGCAGGGCATTGACCGGTTAAACTGTCACCGGGGTGCATTCAAAGTGTAGCAGAACACCAGGCACGGCAGCCATCCCCCAGACAAGAAGCCCACTACAACAACTTGAGGAGGGTTTAGGGTTTATGGGTCCCGAAGCTTAAAACAAATTCAGACGCCCTGGCATGCCGAACGCATTCCAAACTCCTAAACTCAAACGCTAAACCCTCCCACCCTATAAACCCTAAACCCTAAACCCCAAACCCCACCCTAAGCCCCCTAAGCCGTAGAGAAGTGCTGCCGCGGCGCCGACTGGATGCAAACTATCTGAAGCAGCCCGGGCACCTTTTCGCAAGGGCTTAGAGTTCAGGGCTTACAAGGTTTAGGGTTTAGTTTAGGGTTTAGGGTTTTTGGCGGCGGGGGGGGGGGGGGGGGGTTAGATTGGGAGGTTTTGCATGCTTCGAGACACCTGTTGCAGCGGACCCCTCATGAAGACGACCCGAGGCTCGAAGCAAGGCCCACTTTTCGGGTGCAGCTTTGGTTTAGGGCTTCTTTGCTTATGGACTTGTGGCGTGTGTGGGGCTCAGGCGGACTGCGGGGAAATGGGATCGACGGCGAATTTTTTGAGCACTTTCTAGGATGTTTTCTGGTCTCGCGCCGGTACATTCATGTACTTGCAAGTTACTTTAAGTCTCAAACTGCTTCATGATCGCTAAAGCGTATTCCAGGCACGGCCGTCACGCCCACCAGGACCATGGCACAACCCAGCCAGCACACAATGATGCTCTTGAGTTCGAAGCCTGCGTGTGGCAGGAGGTTCGGTGTAGGGCTTAGGGTTTAGGGTTTAGGGTTTAGGGTTTCGGGTTTCGGTTTCGGGTCTAGGCTTTGCCCGCTAAAGTTCTCTGAAAGCTCGGTCAGAAACCCTTCTCAACCTATTCAATAGGCCAAAGCGCAGCTGCTCCCAAGCACAAAGGAAGAGGATACCTAGACCATAAACCTTAATTAAACCTTAATTAAACCTTAATTAAACCTTAATTAAGCCTTAATTAAACCTTAATAATTAAACCTTAATTAAACCTTAACCCCATGGCCTGTAGGGCTTCCCGGCATCGTGAACACACTCCCATGCGACCGGGCGGCTAGGGGGCTGTTCCTGGTGGAGCTGTGGCGCGATCCCGCAAGCCACACCCACCTCACGGCTTAGGGGGGGTTTAATGGCTCTCACCTGGACAAACCAGGCGAGGTGCCCTGTCAATCAGTCATTGTTGCTGTTGAAAGCCACATTAGGCTCTTGGTGACACTCAACCACACAAAGAGTCAGTGAGGCTGCGACGCACGGTTTGGGGCTTTGATGGATTTTGGGATTGTGCGCCTCTCTCTGGAATGCGACGTCCCAAGGTCCGTTTGCTGCTTGTAATGCTCTCGCACGTGCCAAGTTGGCAAAGTGTTGGGCTTCGGTTAGCCCCCAAAATCCCTTGCGTTCCCTTCCTGCCAGGTCGCAGCGGCTACGAGCGCCCCGAGCACGGCCCCGGAGAAAGCGCGGTGAATGAACCTCCACAGCTCAACGGCTCGAGCTTGGCTGGGGATTCGAATTCGGCTGATGATTCGGGCCACAGCTAAACTACTAGTTTGGGAACCACGTCCAAAGGGTACGTGTAGCCACCCCCAGCCTTTACCCAAAAAGGAACTTGGTACCCTAAACCCTCAAGCCTTTCAACCTACAAAAAGGACACAACTTGGTGGAGATGTGTATCTAAGAAAAATAGGTCCTGTTTTCGGCCTCAAGGTTGCGACCTTCCCGGCATCATCGTGCTCCACCTGCGAGAATCGAAGGGGCAGACCCGAGCGATTCGAAGGGGGGCATGGATGTACGGCATGGAAGTATTTGCTTGAATCAACAGAATAAGTGGCAAACACTATGTTGGGTTCGCAGCGATGTAGGCACACACAGGTGTACAGAGAAAGGCAAACTCTGAAAGTACATAAGCATGCATGTATGTAAAATAGACCTCGGTGTTGAAGGGAACCCCACATGCCAAATAGACCTCGGTGTTGAAGGGAACCGCACATGCCAGCCCCCAACATGTTAACCCCCCCAAATCCGCTTGAAGCCCTGGTCCTTGCATCTCCTGAAGGAGCCCTCCTTCCCCCTGGTACTGAGTGGAGAATGAATGAATGACGGCCCTCTATATATGTATATATGGTTCAGCGTCGAGCGTCCTGGGCCCCCCCCCCCCCCCCCCCCCCCATCCCCCCCCCCCCAAGTCTACTCTACGGTCCCTAAACCCTAAACCCTAAACCCTAAACCCCAAACCCTAAACCCTAAACCCTAAACCCTAAAACCTAAACCCTAACCCTAAACCCTAAACCTTAAGTCTTAAACCTTAAACCCTAAACCCTAAAACCCTGAACCCTAAACCCTAACCCTAAAACCAACCCCCAACCACACCACAGGGGGGGGGGGGGATCATCTTAGTACCCCATCCGCGGGGAAAACCCTAAACCCTAAACCCTAAACCCTAAAACCCTAAACCGTAAACCCTAAACCCTAAACCCTAAAACCCTAAAACCCTAAAACCCTAAAACCCTAAACCCTAAACCCTAAACCCTAAACCCTAAAACCCTAAAACCAACCCCCAACCACACCACAGGGGGGGGGGGGGGTACCATTGGGGGGGGGGGGGGGGGGGGGGGGGGGGGGGGGGGGGGGGGGGGGGGGGGGGGGGGGGGGGGGCCCGAATTCATATAGGGTTTTTCAGGTCGAGCGTCTGGGCCCCACCCACCCCCCCCCCCCACCCATGGTATCCCCCCCCCCCCAAGTCTACTCTACGGTCCCTAAACCCTAAACCCTAAACCCTAAACCCTAAACCCCCTAAACCCTAAACCCTAAACCCTAAACCCTAAAACCTAAACCCTAACCCTAAACCCTAAACCTTAAGTCTTAAACCTTAAACCCTAAACCCTAAAACCCTGAACCCTAAACCCTAACCCTAAAACCAACCCCCAACCACACCACAGGGGGGGGGGATCATCTTAGTACCCCATCCGCGGGGAAAACCCTAAACCCTAAACCCTAAACCCTAAAACCCTAAACCGTAAACCCTAAACCCTAAACCCTAAAACCCTAAAACCCTAAAACCCTAAACCCTAAACCCTAAAACCCTAAAACCCTAAAACCAACCCCCAACCACACCACAGGGGGGGGGGGGGGGTACCATTGGGGGGGGGGGGGGGGGGGGGGGGGAGGGGGGGGGGGGGGCCCGCCGGGGCTGAATCATATATATATATATATATACATACATACATACATACATACATACATATTATATATATATATATGTATATATACATATGCCCTTTATAGGATTATGTAGGTACTTCCCTCATTCCCTACTAAGAACCAGCCAGTCCTTGGGGCCCCCACACGATTGCAGCTGGCCACGGATATGCCTAGAGCGCCACTTGTCGCGGAGATCACCAGGAAACTGAGCACCTGTAGGTTTAGGGTTTAGGGTTTAGGGTTTAGGGTTTAGGGTTTAGGGTTTAGGGTTTAGGTTGACAAGAGACTTTAAGAGGGTGGCCTTCCTGGGCCTTTTTGCCTACATTTTTTGTGGGTCGTAGTTATGTACGAAGTACGGGTAGTTTCAGTTTTACTACCTAGCTGTAGGTGAATAGAGTCCCAGGTTAAACAGGCGTAGGAATCCAGGAGGAGGAGCTGTCCACCCCTGCAGTGGCCCCCACCCCCTCTCCCTTGAACAGCCAGCTTCCATTCCTCAGCATCAACACCATTGGCCGGACTAAACCCTAAACCCTAAACCCTAAACCCTAAACACGCGCAAGGCCAGCCCGAGCCACTGCATGCGAGCATCATGATCATCAGCTGCCGGGAGCGTTACGAGCATCAGCTGCTTTTTTCCATGGACACGATATCTCTGTGCATGAGCATGGTGAGCTGGGATGCTCCCCCTGACACTAACAGGGATTATCATAGGGAGTACTATAATCCTGACTGATCACTGTTAGTATAAGGGGAAACATCCCGATTGATGAGCATCAACTGCCAAGCCCAAGCCCTGTAATCTCAAACTTCAGCAACCAAATAAGCCTAGCGGCGCACCAGTCCTTGTTCAAGGACCAAAGTTCGCCGAAGACGCGAACCCATAAGAACTGTAGGGCACCTCAATTCTTTGAGTTCCCAATTTTTGCTGTCATGGATAGTTTTTTTTTTTGGGGGGGGGTCTCCTAAATTAATTAAAACGGGGGCTGATTGCAGGTGCTGGGTGGGAGATTCGATGACTGAACTCTTTGCTCCCGGAACCACTTCGACTTGTTAATTTTCCTTCATGCACAAGCACATCTCCATTCGTTTGCATGTGCATCTATGTGCATCTATGCCGATCCAAGGTGCTGTTGACGTAGTTGGCAGAGGCGTACCTCGCAAAAACGCCCCAGACGGCCTCCCCCCTTTCCCTGCAGTGCCCACCGATTCTTTGTGGCCATCTGAACTGGCCCAGTAAGGCACTGACGCCATGGCACAGTAGCAGAAGAGGGGATTTTCCCAAAGCTCTCCTTAGTAAACGAAAACGGCATGAGCGGAAACCCGAGCCTGAGCCTCCAGTGACACCCCAGTGATCTCGATACAGCACCACGAAGGATCTGTATGTGTATATCCATATATAAATGTGTGTATAGTATATATATATATATATATATAACAGACCCAAGAGCAACCAGCAGGGTACCCTTTCTGGTTTAAAGGGGCTTGTAAGGGACCCTAAGCCCCCCCCCCCCCCCAAAAGGGAATAAGGGCCTACTCTGGCTCTTAGTAGATATCGCATGGATAGATAGATATATATATATATATGTATAATAGTAATCCTCTATATATATATATACACATGGCTCTATGCACAGGCGGACCAGGCAAGCAAGTGGCTGAGCTGGCCCTTCAGGCTTTGCGCCTGGCTTCAGGAGTTCAGATACAGGGTTTAGGGTTTAAGGTTTGAGGCTCTGCTGTTCGTGTCCTTTCTGTGGCGATATGAGGATTTGCGTGCTCGGGCTTTCAGAATACGCGCAACAGATGGCTACCTTTGCATGGCCACTTTGAGTCAGTATGCAGTACGCAGCATTTTCTGGATATCGTTGGAGTATAGCTGCCGACATCAGCATAACCCTTAGATGTTGAAGCTTAAGCCCTGTGTCACGGCATGCCGGTCCCACAAGCCTGAAACAACCTGGTCCTACACCCCAAGCCCTTCAACCTCGTCCTGTAGTTCAAGAAAAAGGTGGCCTCTTCACAGTCGGCGCCGGCTGCATCGGTTGGTGCCTGAAAGGCGCAGGCCCAAGCGTACTAGCGGAAGGATCAGCCGTATTCTCTAAGGGGCGGCTCGACCTCTCAAGTGCGGATTTGCAGAAATTACTGGGACTCGAACCTAGCATCGCGGGAAGATGCTGGGCTCCGTGCAACTAGATGCTCGTCCAAGCTCTCGTTGGCTAGCCGCACCACTCGCTTCCTTCGTGTAGGAGGCAAGCTGCGAAATACAAGCGCGGGCCAAGTAACGGGCACTGTGCGCAGCTAAAGCACGCTACAGAAACCATTACATGCGCAATCATCAAGTCTGGTCACTGGCACTGGCAGCACTCACAGCAGAAAGCCCTCCCTTTAATAAAGCCAACCAAGTTGTTGAAACCACTTAGCCCGAAACCTCTCGAGCTTATAGGGTCCAGGATAATGCCTAAACCCTATAAACCCGAAACCCGAAACCCTAAACCCCAAACCCTAAACCCTAATAGCCGAGCTGGTGGCTTCAGGAACAGACTTTATCAAAGGACGATGTTCCGTTAGGGAGTGTCCGGAGTGCTACGAGGAACACATACCATACTACTTGAAGGTTCATGGTACTTATTAGCCAACTCAAAAGGCACTTCTAACCCAAATTAGAACCATATTAGGGCGCTTAAAGCTTATAAGTGGGTCCTAAGTACTGTTATGATTGGCTAATGAGTACCATGAACCTCCAAGTACAGGGCAGTGTGTACTAAGGTCATTTACCCAGACGTCCTTCTATTGCACATGTTACCTTAACATGTTCGCCCTTAGACTGAAAGCCCTTAGTAGGGATTATCATAAGGGGTACTATTTTCCCCATGAAGGACTGTTAGGGCAAGGGGGAGCCCAAATGTTATCTGGAATCCGGAGCTCTCAAAAAGGATGCCCCTGTTGTCGGAAACCCCGCACGGCCAAACAAATGCAACAATGCAACAGTGCAACAGCACCGCCCTAGCTGGGCCTCGGCGATTTCATCTTAGCCTCAGTGGAATTGCTGTCGCACCGAAACGCCGGGACATGGTTTTGGGCGTTCCGCCCTCCGCAATGGGCTGACTATGGCGAGACGTCAGGGTTGGGCCTGGGGGGCTGCAGCTCAGAATGTTGCAGCGTCTGCAGATCTTTGCACATGTTGCTTAGAACGGTGTGCTTCACCCTCACTCCCATCCCTTCGAAACCTGATGCTGTCAGACCTCATGACCCGGTGACCTTCACGAGTCTATTGATGCTGCAACTTGTCAGTTGTGGATTTCCTACTCATCTGTCGTGTCAATGAGAAGCCATAGGGGCTTTTGTGCCAGCAATCCGGGTGCTAGATGCATGAATCTCCTAGAGACAGAGGGCATACCGGTATACCTGCCCAATGGGTATCAACATGAAGGGAGTAGAAATGAGCAGACCCTAGAATTGGGGGATACATGGCGAGCACTGGAAAGCTCAAAATCTCAAGCTTCACATGCGCCTGATTTCCCAACTTTGTCCTACCACCTGATAAAAGTGTGAACGGCCACCTCAACTTCAATGGTGCTGAGACTTAACAAAACCACCCAACATAAGTAAAGGGCACTTGCCCCAAAACCCTATAACCTCCTGAGCCCCAAACTCGTCCTAATCCCTAAACCCTAAACCCTAACCCTAAACCCTAAACCCTAAACCCTAAACCCTAAACCCTAAACCCTAAACCCTAAACCCTAAACCCTAAACCGAGGCCTAGCTGCGAATGGCTCCAGGGAGTCGTCGCGGATCGTAAACTGCTGCCAATCCGTTAGCGCCAGGGCCACCCACAGGGCAAACAAGACGCCAGCCTGAGGAAACGTTTAGGGTTTAGGGTTTAGGGTTTAGGGTTTAGGGTTTAGGTTTTTTTTTTGCCACCCGCTTAGCTGACCTCTCGGACACTCTGCAGGGAACTGGCGGTTAAATACTGGGGGTTTAGGGTTTAGGGTTTAGGATTGATGGTTTAGGGTTAGGGATTTCTGCCAGCCTGAGGAAACGATTAGGTTTGGGATGTTCCCCCATATACTAACGGTCCTTAATAGGGATTATAATCGGGGGTACTTAGAATCCCCATTAAGGACTGTTGGTATAAGGGGGGACATCCCGACGTTTGCGGTTTTGGATTTAGGGTTTAGGGTGATTGTTCTTCTGCCCGCCTGCCCAGCTGCACTCGAATCACACTTTTCAAGGCAATGGTATAGGCATACGGGTTTGGGGTTTAGGGTTGTTTAGGGTTTAACAACTCAACCCTCTAACTGTGAGAAAGTGTTATCATTCTCCGAAACGACGGCGCATGTCCTGCCGTAGGATGCTCATGGTTACTGACGGTTACTACCCTGGTAGTAGCTTGTTCTTCGCGGCCCTCCTGAGCCGGAAAATCTGGGATGAGGTTGAGGACTGAGGGTTCGGGGTTACCAACTTGGACTTTAAACCCTAAACCCTAAACCCTAAACCCGAAACCCTTGTGGCACATCGGCTTCTGCTTTTGCAAGCCGCCGGCCTCGATCTGGAAGGCCAGCTCATAGGAACAGCCCTGGGCCGTTGTGAGCCCGGCGATGATGGTGCCTGAGGGCTGGTCACTCTACTTATCACCACCGATAGCCTCCTTAAGTGCCCTAACATGGTTATAATTTGGGTTAGTTATATAATAAGTGCAGTTACATGTACATATATATATATGTATAAGTGCAGTTATGATTGGTTTAGAAGTACCCTGAACCCGGTGCCATCCGAGTTGCCTAGGCCGTTGCCCAGTCCTGACGCGACCCCACCTCCTGGCAGGCGGCAACCCGCATTGTCTAGAAATACCTGCCTAAGATCCTGGGCCCCGAGCCCCGTGAACCAATGATAAGTGTACTTATAACCCTTCTGATAAGGCTTTTAAGTGCCCTAATATGGTAAGTGCAGTCAAAGTTGGTTGAACCGTACCATCAACCTTCAAGTAGACTCTCAACTCCACTGGCGCTTTCCTGATAGGTTCATCCAGACAGGTAGGGACGCCGGAGGAGCCCACTTGCCGATCCATAGTGGGCACCACACCCACTGCAAGCTCTCGGTGAAGCCAATCCTGACCCAACCGATGCAACTTTGTGCAAAAACCGTGAGGTGAAAAAGTCGAACCAAACTTGGTGTGGTCGGAGAGATGGGTTGAAATTGGGTTCTTGCCCTGACCAACCCATCTCTAACCTTATAAGGAGTATGGCAGAAGGCATAAGGCATAAGGCATAAGGCTGGATCCTGCACCGAGAGGCAATAGCTTCGCCAGGCACATTGCGACTGGGCTTCTCAAGGTTGCAAAGATCAGGGTGGAGGTGGCGTTGATGAGCAGTCCTGCAACCAGCGGGGCCGGCAAAGAGGGCTGAAAGAAGCCCTAAAACCCAAACCGTAAATACCCTTCCTTGAAGCTGGACGCCCTGCTCGACCCGTTTTAAATCCCAAACTCGAAGCCCCCCCCCCCCCCCCCTTTTTCACCCTAAACCTGACCTTTTTCAACCCTGGGCCGTGAACCCAAATCCCCCCGCCGCCCCCCCCTCGCTTAAACCCCCAAGCCCCCCCAAAACCCCAAACCCCTACGAAGTCTCCTAGGCAGAGCAACTGTTTGGAGCCAGCGCGCTGAAGCATGTAGCCTTGCCGAACTGCGATGATGATTTCTGTTTCTTTTTGGTGTGTGGGGTTCGGGCTTCTGGGGTTACTAGCGGGGCCTTAAGCAAGCGACCCCCAAATTTGCCCCCCCCCCCCCCCCCCACGACTTGGAGGCTCAGGGTACTTATAACCCCAATGATGACTGCACTTGTACACGACCTAAGTAGGTTGTAAGTAGACTTCTGACTGGGGGTTCTAAGTACTTATGAACCTCCGAGACGTGGAGTTCAGGATTGTGGTGGAGATCCCCTAAACCCTAAACCATTTTTACTACACCCCCCCAAACCCTAGAAAGGATTTGGGTGTGAGACCTGACTGGCAGAGAGCTTCTTTGGGTGTAGGGCTTCGGGGAGGTTGAAGAAATCGAGGCCCTAGCCTTTATCTGAACCCAGCTGGCACGATGAACATTGCTTTGAGCCTAAAAACCCTAAAGCCAGGGTTTAGGGTGTTGAGCTTTTTTCGGGGGTTTTAGGGTACTTCAGTGGCTCACTTGTCCCAAAAAAGCTACATGCCAGGTCGCCCCAGAATGCTGCAGCCATCCTCAGCCAAGATCGTGCCATCCCCGCGTCCAACATGTCACTGCCAACCCTAAACCCTAAACCCTAAACCCTAAACCCTAAACCACATGTAAACTTTGCCCCCCAAGAGTGAGATGCGAGAAGTTGCCGAAAGCCCTATTTTGAACCAGCACCCGGCAACTAGACCCTTTTTTGCGTATGGGCTCCGGCCGAGAACGCTCAACCCCGATTTCCTCGCAACGCTGGTTAAACCCTAAACCCCTACACCCTAAACCCTAAAACAGCCTAGCCGCCCTTCCCCAACCCCCCCCCCCCTCCCCCAAACAAAAATGAAGATGAGGCGCGTCATCCCAATCTTGTCCATCGCTCCAAGGAGCCTCGAAAAAGAGATCGTTCACTTTAGAAACAGCGCAAAAGTTACCCCTTAAGAACTTAAGAAACACAAAAGAGGGGTTTAGGGTTTAGGGTTTAGGGTTTCGACTCTCACACTCGCACAAGGCAGGCAAGGTTTAGGGTTGAGGGTTTAGGGTTTAAGGGTTTCGGGTTTAGGACCCAATTTTTTTTTTTTTTTTGGGGGGGGGGGGGGGGGGCCATGGGGGGCCTGGACTTAGCCATTCTTTTGGAAATGCCCAAGTGCAGCAAGCTCGAGGACTCTAGACTGCTTTGGCTTTACGTCCTCCGCCTCTTCGGGCCCTAAACCCTAAACCCTAAACCCCCAACAGCTTCTGCTGGGCAGCCCGATCCCGGCAGGGCTCCAGTGACCTTCGCTTTGAATTGTATCGACCGTTGCTGCGGTCGCGCCGCCTCGGGCAAAAGAAGGGCTCTCAAGGAGCTTCGCTTGTTGCTTCTGCTTTCGCACCTACCTCCCTATTGTACACCCAGAAGTTATCCCAGATATATGTGTACAATATATATATATATATCGATAGATGTCCCAGAGACATGCTGCAATACTTTGGGGGAAATCCAGTGGTTGAACTTCCATCTTGGACAAACAAGGCCTGAAAATTTAGCACTCACAGGCCATCAATGTCCACACTGCGAAGCTGCGACCGTGGGCAAAAGCTGTTGAAGCCCAAGTGCCATTGTAGGACATGAAGACAGGTACAGCCAGGCAAAACAGCGTAAACATGACACATGCCGGCAGTGGTATCCCCATGGCTCGGAAGCGATCGCGAAATTGAAGCAAAAAACGGCTTGTCGATCAGCCAGTCGCACTCGGCAAGTGCTGCGCAGTTAAGTAGACTTGCAGTGCTGAAATGTTGCAAAGACTCTAAAGTTGAAAGCCAGCGTGGTCCAAAGATTCTAAAGATGAAGGCGGGCGTGGAAACTACGTTCAGAACTCTGCAATGCTGGCCCTAGCTACTTTGAGCCACTCTCTGCAACATGCCGAATCCGTCCACACAGGCGTTGACCGTGACAAAAGTTTGCTGCGCCTACACACAGCCGCCTCCTTAAACCCTACATCCTTTTTGCAACGGACTTTTGGGTCCGCCCCGCTTGAGAAAGCAACCCTAAACCCTAAACCTTGTTGCCACGGGCTTTTGGGTCCTGCCACCTTGAGGGAGCAACCCTAAACCCTAAACCCTAAACTCTAAGCCCTAAGCCCCAAACCCTAAACTCACAACTTTTTGTTCGGCGGGCTTGGCGGCAGCGGCAAGCCGCTGGTGCGGTGCACCTCCCAAGTTGGAACAAGACACGTATTCTATGGCGCCATGCACCCATACCAGGTTTAGGGTTTTTTTTGGCACCCGGATGCACCCGGCTAGCCACAGCACAGGTTTAGGGTTTGGCTCTCAATATCATGGGCCCAGTTTTGGGTGCCCGAAATTATGAGGGCCGCCTTAGAATAGTCACCCCTCTCCCTCCCCCTCTCCCTCCCCCTCCCCCTCCCCCTCTCCCTCCCCCTCTCCCTCCCCCTCTCCCTCCCCCTCTCCCAAAAGCTTAAAAGGTGCCATACTATCATCAAAACCTACTTGGGCACTCTCTCTCTCTCTCTCTCTCGCCCAGACTCGGGTTCGTCAGCTGCCCTCGACTTGGGGCGTATAGGGCTACTTCATGGGAGGTCCCTAAGGCCCCTAAGGCGGTTTAGGGTATACACCACACCGTCGGAATTTCAGCTTCTGGGGCAACCTGCTGCCCACATCCCAGCCCTGGTTCTCAACCTCTAGCTTCAGGCCTCCAGCCTTGCGGCTCTACCCCTTGGAGTTAGAAGGTTGCATCAACTTTCAGATTCATCCATCGGAACCTAGGCACCCTAGAACCCTATCTGATAACCCAGATGCACACAACTTCGTGCAGACTTCCCCGGGCCATCGAGAGCTACTCGCCGGCATTCGGGGGCCGCGACCGCGAGCGGTCCCGAGCATCGCCATTGCTGCCATTGCTCTTCTGCCCAGGACGCCTTCGGTTTTGGGTTTTCGGTCTTCGGGAGAAGAAGGATTTTGGGGCGTGGGAAGACCAGTTCTTAACTTGAATAGAGGTCATTCGACATGTGCCAACCGGTGTTCTCATACAATCTGCTTAGGCTCGTTGAGCCCCCCGGTGCCCCTGAGATAGGGTTTAGGGTTTAGGGTTTAGGGACCAAGAGGGGAAAAAGGTTGAACTTTAATATATCCTACTAAATAAGGAAGCCCAAGAAGTTCAAAGCTCAACTAAAGGCGAAGCAATGAAACTGGGAGCCAGGCCCTTGGCCCTTCGAGACCTCGCCAGAGAAGCGGAGCCCTGCTGCACGGGCGGCCTTGAAGGGAGCGTGGTCCATGGCCTTGGCCCACTTCTACCAACCCCTTTTGAAGCCGGTGTCTTTGGAATGTTCCCCCCCTTATACTTTCTAACAGTCAAGGGGGAGAATCCCAACAGGTACTTGCCGAAGAAAACCCTAAACCCTCCATCACAAATAGGTCCACCAAAGCGGGCCTTTCTTTGGGGTATTTCTCAAAATAGCGTCCCCCTAATTTTACCTCAACATACTATACTCCTGATTCTAGGAAGACCCTAAACCCTAAACCCTATACCCTATTTTCGTAAACCCCATTTGCAACAGCCGCTTGTTCTGGCACCCAGCCATCGTGGGCTCCCCCTCTAAACCCTAAACCCTAAACCCTAAACCCTAAACCCTAAACCCTACACCCTAAACCCTAAACCCTAAACCCTAAACCCTAAACCTGAGTTCCACGCCTTGGCTCAAATTTCGACTCCGAGCGGCCATGGCGAGAAGCTCGGGGGTCGCCTTTTGCCCTACGTCCTCCGCCGGGGTGCGGGAGGGCTGAGTCTGGCTGGATCTTATATAGGGAATGAGGGAATGAGGTGCCCTATAGAATCCCTTAAAGGGTATGTATGTATAAACATTAATAAATAAATAAATAAACAAATGAATAAATATATATATATATAGAGAGAGAGAGAGAGCCCTAATTCCCTCATTTCCCTACGAAGAACCAGGGGGTAGCAGAGACTTCGGGTCACAGATGAAATGTTCTATACTTACTGTGTATATATATACACACATAATTATATATATATATATAATTATGGATGTGTAGATGTATGAAGTTAAATTTTAAACGTTCACGTTCCCTAATAGTATTATGTATATGAAGATGAATATGAACACATGCTTTTACTAATTTATGAGCTTTCAGGACCATCGAAAAGCCGCGACCCATCCTCTCCTGTCCTCGAGGTGCTCCACCAGCAATGCGGCCATCTTCCGATGGTTGGCTTCGCCCTTGCCTTTCTTGGCCTATCGGGCAGTTAGGGTTTAGAGTTTCGGGTCTAGGGTTTAGGGTTTCGGGTCTAGGGTTTAGGGGACCTAATAGTAACCTATAGCACTGGAACTTGAATCAAGTTGAAGGATAGTTTGGGCCCTGACCCTGGCCCAAAAATGCTTGTGAGCCCCGATGGTAACCACTATCCTTCGAGCCCTGTAGTGGCCACAAGGGGAAAGATAGCAGACTCTAAACCCTAAACCCTAAACCCTAAACCCTAAACCCTAAACCCTAACTCTCAAACGCGAAGACCATAACCATTGATCGTGGCGAGCGGCCGATGCGTCTTGACTCAGCAACGCGAAGGCCTCACCGCTCGCGCCCGCGCGGCCAGTTCGACCCACACCTGCGCTGCAATCAGAGGGTTTAGGGTTTAGGGTTTTAGGGTTTAGGGTTTAGGGTTTAGGGTTTAGGGTTTAGGGTTTAGGGATTAGGGTTTAGGGTTTAGTGTTTAATTAGGGCCCCTGATAAATGGACCTAAGATTGTTTCTGAATATCTGATGAAAGAACACACAAAGGAATAATTGCAAATAATCAGGCCACTCTGCATCATTAACGCTACAGGCACTACAACCGGCCGTCGGCAAGGGACGGTGCGTGTGGGTTTCGATGTCACGAGCAACGTCGAAGGAGACCACCGTGCCTTGGGGACGACATGAACCCTAAAAGGGTTTAGGGTTCAATGGGTTCATATTACCTTAATCGGGATTATAGTAGCATAGGGTATATACCCTAAAAGGGTTTAGGGTTCACATTATCTTAAAAGGGATTATAGTAGTATAGGGTATATGACCCCAAGTTTTTGGTTCTTCCTTTGGTCCCCAAGGTGCGAATGGTTGTGATGTCCAGACCGCGAGCAGCGACATCCGTGGCGATGAGAAGGTTCCTGAGCCAGCCACATGTCTACTCATCATCTAATATGGGAGTTTACGAACACAAGGGACCTCCAGTATAGACCCCCAAAATAGTAGGATCCCCTTATCATAAGGACCCCAAGAAGGTACCCCTAATTTCGGAAACCCCCATATGAAGCTCGCATTAAAGTGGAGACGTGCCTCCAGTTTTTGCAGAAGCCCATGGACAGCCACAAGATCTACTGGAACAGCTTGCGTCCGAGAATCTGTCGTTGCTTGCGGAGGCCATCTATCACCCTCATGCGCTCGTCCTGCTCCAGATCGCCATGAAGTACAGCAGCTTCCTTCTGCACGTCTGCAAACTTCTGCTGGAGCTCCTGGAATGGCCATCCCGAGCTATTTGCCCGCAATGGCGCATGGGCCCTACTTTACCTCCGCAAGGTGGGGGGTCGGTTGTGTGGTGGTTGGGGACGACTTTTGGGCTTGCAGGGATAGGATGGGGGGGGGGGGGGTGGTTGGGAGACCGGCGCTCTGGACCCCAGCGCCTGCGCAGCCTGCTTCGACTTCACAAACACCAGCGTCTGTCCCTTCGCAAGCATCTGGTCCACCCTGGCGTGAAGCCACCCAAACTTTTGGTCGTCGCTGCTGAGGACCTCAACCTGGGGAACAGGATGTTAAGTACTCCTAATAATCCTAAACCGAGAAGTCGAGGCCCAGCTGTGTCCATAGGCAAGAGGCACGCTTTCGAAGTCTATCCTATAGATGCTCCCGAGGATTCCAATCTCCTTTTTTTAATGCATCCAGGTCACGTGCTGCTTGACATTTGCGGCCGCCTGTCCAGCAGTGCCCACCTCCGAGTTGCGTAGGGGGCAAAGAGCTGCAGCCCTCTGGACTATCTTCAAATACACCAAGTGCTCAAGTCACGCTTTCACTGTGTATGCAAGCAGATTCCTGCATACCCCTGTAAACCTGAGAAGCGATCACCGGCTACTTTATTGCAGACAAAGCACTGTGATGCGCACAGGCTGGTTCAGGAAGTCTGCTGCGAGCCGCTCAATGCGAGGCGGCATGGTGGCAGAGAAGAGCAGGGTCTGCAGCAGACGATGCTTCCGAGTTTAGAGGTTGAACCATGTTGTTCTATAAACCATATACTACTCCAGGAAAAAATCTTCCTTATATAGGGATTCTTTTTACAGATATTTTTGGGGGCTCTTAAGTAAACAGTAGTATACTGAACTCCCTTGCAAGGCTGCTGCCATGTTCTAAGCAGTCGGAAACCTTGTTCTAAGAAGTTGGATGCTCCAGCCCCACAACTGATGCAAGCAAAAGCGACGCGCGCTGCCGCAATGAACTCCCAAAAACCCTTCGTTAGGGAGCTTCTCGCGACTAGCCCACGTTTTACCCCTATGCGCATCTGTACTCCTGAACAGTCCCCATGCGACTATCCGACTGACGATGTACGCCGGCGTTCGAGTCGGCTACATAGCCTGGGCCTGGGGGCTGGTGCCCTGGTGATCTTCGGATTGGTTTTGGCTTTTGCTCTTCTCACATGTGGTCCCTCTGCCTGCCGTTTCGGTCGCACATTTTGGAGGATGGAGCGCATCTGATCCTGACAGCCGGGGCAATGCAAGCTTGAGCCTGGATAAACTGGGCCACGAACATTCTCCCTCTAAACCCTAAACCCTAGGCCCTAAACCCTAAACCCTAAACCAGCTCCTCGAAGCCCATCTGCAGCATGCGGTCGGCTTCATCGAGGACGACGAAGGTGGTCCGCCGCAAGTTGCAGCCTCTTTGAGAGGCACACCGCGCTAAAACAGACAACATAGCTTGAGGCACTTAAAAAACTTAGTCCTGGATGATTAGATCTCTCTTTTATATATATATATATACATATATATATATATATGTATATACATATATATATATGTATAAACATATAAAAAAGCAGGCAAACCTCAGGGTTCCAGTTGCAAGGGAATCGTCGACTGCGCGCACGTGCACAGGATGGCACGCAGCGTGCATACTATAGGGGCTGATTAGAACAGGATGTTTAGGGGTTCTTATAGTATAACTATCAAGGGACCATCAGGGAATACTGTTGTAAATATTCCGACCCTTATATTGCGCGCGCGCGCGTATGTGTGTGTGTGTGTGTCTCTTGCTCTTTCCGTCCTGGCCACCGGTTGGTAAAATAGAAGACACAGGCCCGTATGTGGAGGGTAACATCATCGGATTCTGGAACCCAGAGGGCATGCAAACGCATTCACGGACACACAGCAACTATGAGGCATTCTACTGTGAGTTGGTCTCGGTGCTGCACAATGGCCTTTCATCTTGACGATGTCGATGAGTCGTCCAGGCGTTGCGATCACAATCTCGCTGCCGCCTGAGACCGAACGAACGGAGTGCAACACCTAGCAGCAAAAGCTGACTGGAACAGCCCCGCCTTTGATGGTCCTGAACTGCTGGTACTTGGACAAACCTCCGGCGAACGTTGTGCTCCTCAAGCCCAGCAGTTTGTTGAACTTGTACACTTCCTTCTCAATCTGCACGGCAAGCTCGCCTGGGCATACCAGCTGACATGGACAATGCCAGATGCTGCTTCCACTGTGGAAAACCATCAAAGCACCACCAACCCCGAAAACCGGCAATGTAAGCCCGCCCTAAACCCGAATGTTGACCTGCTCTGACGAGTATTGCCCCCAATCACCAGAGAAACAGAAACCCCAAACCCTAAGCCCTAAGCCCTAAACCCTAAGCGTTGCGCAGCAAAGTTGGCCCACTCTCAGAAATACTTGTGGTTCAGGTCCTGTTGAGTGCGAAGTGTCCAGTCAAGCTAGACAAACTAAGGATAGTGAGCCTAAATCCTAAACCCTAAACCCTAAACCCTAAACCCTAAACCCTAAACCCTAAACCGAGCCAAGCCGATGGGTTCTGCCATGTGCTTTCTCTGCCCTACTGGGCACCGGGGAATGAAGCTGATTCAGCCCAAAGGGCTGGGGATCATTCGTTCTCGCAGGACACAGAATAGTTCTGACGTCTGCGGGTTAGGGAAAAGTTAGGGTTTAGGGTTTAGGGTTTAGGGTTTTAGGGTTTTAGGGTTTTAGGGTTTTAGGGTTTTAGGGTTTTAGGGTTTTAGGGTTTTAGGGTTTAGGGTTTAGAGTCTAAGGGTAAGTTTAGGGTTTAGGGTTGCTGTAAGGCGGGCAGCGAGTAGGGCAGAGCACCAAGCCGATCGGGCCCTCATCCTTCTTCAGCTCCGGCTGCGCCGCGCTGTGGACAAGAAGCCTTTGGCAGCTGCCAAAGTGAACCCAAACTACTACAACTATTTACAACCATCATTGCTTAGGGTTTAGGGTTTAGGGTTTAGGGTTTAGGGTTTAGGGTTCATGCATGCATCATCATGACCACTCGTCATCACCAGATCAATGATGAAAATAAGAATTAAGCAAGAAAATTGTGGCAATAAGAGTTGTCGTTTGGGATGTTCCTGTACTAATAGTCCTAAGTGGGACTCTAGTACCCCTAGATCCCCCTAGTATAATCCCTTTTGAGGACTGTTCGTATAAGGGGGACATGCTAAATAAGCTGATCTTTGACTTGGCAGCGGCATGAGGTAAGCCACCGTCTTGCCAGATCCCGTTTCCGCCTCGGCGCTCAGGGTTTAGAGCTGAGGCTTATACTTAGTTGCTGAGTTCATAAGCCCCAAAAAGTGTACACTTTCAGCTATATGGGGAATAAAAGTATCCCAAAAAGTGTAAAGTGTACCCACTCAGCTACTGAGTATAGGGGTTTAGGGGCTTCAGGGTTCCGGGTTGTGCCCCTAAGGAGAGCCTGGATCCAGCAGGGCGCTTCATGGTTTGCTTCCTTTATCCGGTAGGACTGCGGAAGGAGTTGCAAGTTGCAACTACTTACCGCGCGACTTTGCCGAGGAACTATGATGCACCATGGCTTGCGTGTGATGGATCGTCACTAGTACGCCACACTGTCTTATTATATATGTCCTCACAGCTCAACCGCTGCATTGAAACGGACTGAAACGCCTGACTGGCACGTGACTTTCCGCCGCCATGCTAGCTCAACATGTGTGGAGGAGACGAGGGTCTGCTTTCGGGTTTGGAAGGGCAGTTGGGGGCACAAAACTGTCGGCAACTCGCTGGGGGTCCCACCACGCCGATGACGTCGCGGCCGCTGAGTCCGGCTGGACAAGCTTGCGCCTGCGGCTGACAAGCGTGTATAAGGCTTCGTAAGCTGGCTGTGACCGGCCCAGAGGGTTCCGAGACGGCGTCTGGGACTATATAAGACGTAAAGACAGGCTACTTGTAGTCCCTCACCTGCATGCTCCTTGCTGGTACTTCTTGTCGACCATTCTGAAGAATGAGCTCTGCAGCTTCGATCAAACTTGTAACGTATCAACACACAAGGGGGTCCGGTAGTCGCTCCGAAGCCCTGGCATGAGCCTGCATGTACAGCATACGCACACAAGATTCAGCTCTTCGCATGCGCCGCGTGATCTCACAATGCCACCGTAGATGACACCCCTGGCGCGAAACCCACCTGGATGGCCGTTGGCTTGCTGTAGTTGTTCTTGCGGATTCCATCCAAAAGCTCCTTCCATCTCACTATACGCACATGAAGTTTCTTCTCCTATAGGTCCTTCTGGGGAGAACCACACAACGAAGATGTGCAAAGGACCCGTCCTTTGGGAGTCTCAGATGCGCAAAGGAAACCACCGGCCGGGGGCAGTTCGAGCCCGTGACGGTGAGGCGAAAGTCCTTCATCGGTTTGTTTGGTTCGAGCAGACCAGCCACGCGGCAGTTTTTGTGCCTTTTTGACCTTGGTGCTTTGCGGTCTTTTGCTGCATGGTTCGCAGCTGTCCATTTGCAACTGTGCCAGTTCTCCTAAGCACCAGCACAGACAGATAATGGAGAAAAGCCTGTAAAATGCCTGTAATGGAGCGCGGGCATGCAAAAGAACATCATGGACAATGGAAAACAGGCGCGCCGGAATTCATATAAACAATGTAACAATGTTCAAGCAAGAGCAGCAAAGAATGCCAGCTTTTGGGGACTCAGTTTGAGCTGCCGAGATTTTGTCTCCAGTGAGGCCGGGCCGTTCACAGCATCCAGGTTGCCTTAAATCATCTCAGAATACGGGTACCCGTTTGGGGTTGGCCAGTTTTACAAGGGAACTGTCAACAACAAAAGGGGAAAAGGGTACCCGTGGGCTACCAGGTTGCTCACAGAAGGTCCAGTGACGCGCAGTCGAATGCCTCCTAAGGCGCTCATCGAACCGTTCCGCACTCGTAGAGCACGATGTCAATTTGTCGCTCATACCTTAGTTGTCCAGTAACCTGGGGGAATGAAAGGTTCACCTTTGGGATTTCATAGAGATTAGAATGCCCCAAAAAGGTTAAAGGCTGCCTACTCTACTACTAAGCCTAAACCCTAAACCCTAAACCCTAAACCCTACACCCTACACCCTAAACCCTAAACTCTCCAAGATACTCATCCATGGCCTTGGGCCAATAGTAGTCGCTCTGCATGGCTGTCCGCTGCATTCTGCAGAAGTCCTCCTTTCGCTTCAAATTCAGCTCCACGGCGCGATAGACGGTCTCCTCTACGACTTGCTTATAAGAACTCCCCCCAAAAACAGAAAGAATAAGAATCCCTATATTACCCTTCCTAAAGAAGAATATATATATATATATATACATTTTTTTTGTTTATATAGGGGGGGGGGTTCTTATAGGCAACTCGTAGTCCTTGAGCGCGTCGGAGCTCAGCGGGGCCACGAGGAAGCCGGTGGCGACCTCGACCCCCTCCGAGACGTCCTTCACCTTGGTAGCCCAGTAACCCTATTAGAATCAGGGCGCACCCTTTTTTTGGGGGGCTAGTTTGATAAGGGATCATAAGGGCACCCTTTTTGGGGGCTATTTTATAAGGGATAATAAGGGCACCCTTTTTGGGGTCATTTTATGAGGGAACCCATAACCAAAAATAAAGGGTAAAGGGTACCAGTGGGCTACCAATTCACGGAGTCCACCAGGCCCCCAGTCGCATGGACGATGGGCAAGGTTCCGTACATCTGCGAGTACCTGGGAGGGCCCTTCTCAAAACCCTCTGTGAAAAAATATTCCTGAATTATGAGCCTCTTAAACCCACAAGAAGGGAAGATATAGAAAACCCTCTTAAACCCACAACTTAAGGGAAAAAACGATAGACAAAAAATGGTCCCAAGTGTGCCTCGGTACATCTGGGGTAGGCCACAGGGCTCATAGCGTGAAGGCATCAGGAGCAGATCACAGGCCGCCATCATCTGGTGCTCCACTTTCGGGTCGAAGCCGACGTAGCCGCAAACACGGCCCTTGTGGTTGGACTCTGCCCATCTCCTAGATTTTAGGGTTTAGGGTTTAGGGCCTAGGGTTTGTATACTGAAACTTGGCACCCTTAGCAAAAAGCAGGTTTTTTTGGCTGTGCCTTAGAAATTATAGTAGCCAAAAATCTAAAAAATGATGTTCAAGTACCCCTAAGTCTCAGTGTGTCAGAGTACTGCCGGTCCCCGTTGCCCATCATGATCAGCTGAACGCGGCCGGTGACCCCATTGCCCGTGTCCGTCATCAGCCACGAGATCATGGAAGCCATCACATCGACGCCCTTCTGCCACGTCAGGCGCCCAACGAAGCCAATGAGGCACAACCTGGGGGACGAAAGGAACCCTAAAAGGGTGTAGGGTTCCTACTACCTTCATAGGGATGAGAGGAGTATAGGGTATATGACCACAATTTTAGGGTCCTGCTGTGGTCCCCAAGAAACTCGGCGTTCTCCTCGAGCCCCAGCGTTCGCTGAAGCTGAAGCTTGTTCTCCTTCTTGCCCTGCTCGAAGTCCTCGACGCTAAAGTGCACGAAGACATCCGGATCCACTGCAGGATCCCAACCTGGGCAGCCCAGTAAACCATACTTTAAAAAAAGCGCACCCTTTTTTTGGGGGTTGGGTGGTTTAAGGGAACCCCCATAACCCAAAAAAGGGTATAGAGGGTACACACTGGGCTGCCCCAAGCAACAATCGTCAATCCCATTGAGGATTCCCGCCAGACGCAGGGATGCGGCCTTTGCCGACACGAAGTCCTGCAGATTGAAACCACCCTGTGGCGTCTGGATCTCCTTTGCGTAGTTCGGCGACACTGTCAGCACCCGGTCTGCACAGATCCTTAGTTGCTGAGTTCATTAGCCCCCCAAAAAAGTGTACACTTTCAGTTCCATAGGGGATTCTAGTATCCCAAAGAAATGTAAAGTGTATACTCACTCAGCTACTTAGGATCAGTGCTCCTTTGGACAGGTTGACGCAGTTGCCCAGCACCAAGTCTCCAGCTGCCTTGTCATCAATGCCGAAGAACCTGCAAGCATCGTATCCGTGGTACTGGCCCTGGTAGCCCATGTTGTGGATCACATAGATGCATCGTGCCTGGGAGTAGCAGTTGTGCCGCCGGTACTTGTAGCACAAGTACACCGGGACCATTCCTGCCTGCCAGTCATTGGCCAGGAAAATCACCTTGGCTGCCCAGTAACCACATTGCAATAAGGGTATACCCTTTTTTTTTTTTTTTTTTGGGGGGGGGGGGGGGGGGGTTAGTTGCCTTTTGTTTGAGGGGAACCTCTTGGACCAAAAGAGGGAAAAGGGCCCCACTGAACCTGCGAAGTCACCTTATCACCATACTTGCCCTGCTTGTTGATGTCAAGGATGAGGGGCGCCTCCATTGCGGCCAAGCAGAGCAAGGTGAAGCGGTAGAGGTTGTCCGGATACTCGCGGCCATCATTGTCGTTGTAGAGACCGCCGTCTCTCTGAATGCCGGACCCTTCCTTTGTTGTCCGGCAGCCTAGAAAACTCAAGGTTAACCTTGGGGGATCATGTAGGAAGTATAATTTCCCCCAAAAGGATAAAGGTTATCTACTCTACTTCTAAGCTTCAATGAACAAGTAGTCGGTCCCCTTGCCATCCTCATAGTCCTTGCGCATGTGAAAGTACTTGACAACCTCATCGGTGTCATTGACCCGGACACGCGTCTCTCCGATGTAGTTGATCCCCTCGAAGTGCTTGTACTTGGGGGAGACCACCATGGTCCGGTGACCGTTCCTGGCAAACTCGAAGGCGTAGGACGCCGCAACCATGCCTAGACCTCCTGTCTTCGAGTATGGCGCAACCTCGCTGCTCACAATAACAACAGGAACATTGAGATTGTACGGGTCGTAGTGCGACTGCGCAGTCTTCTTCCCCTTACGATGTTCAGCCTTCGTCTCTGGATCGGCCACGGTCTCCAAAGCTGAGAAGCTCGTGATGTGCCTCAGGGAGACACCACGCGTTGGTGAGGATGACTCATCGTTTCGGAGTGGCACCTCAAGATCCTCCAAGTCTTCGTCTAAGGGCGTCTGCACGACCACGACGTCCTTGCTGGAATCATCCTTGGGGATTTCCTGAGGCTCGGCTTTGGCTTCTTTTTTTGGCGAAGCGTCCTTGGCGTCGGTTGCTTCGCTTTGGTCTTTCGAGTCTTGGGGCTCTTTCGAGTCTTTTGAGTCCAACTTGACGTCTTTGACGTCTTTGTCTTGGGCATGGCTTGGACTGGGCTCTGTGGCATCCAACGCCAGAAGGCTCTGGGAGAAGTTCCTCCTGCTCATCTCGCGATTCTCCAAGGTCACGGCCAAGGGACAGGTTGAGGTGACTTCAGCAGCTGCCTTGTCCACGCCACTCTCTGCCATTTTCAGGAGGATCTCCTCCTTCTCCTGCTTTGCAGCGGCCCGATCCTTGGTGTCCTTTTCCTTCTCAGGCTCTTTCTCGGATGGGCCAGATGGGCCAAGGCTGGACAGCTCGGCCGAAGCTTTTGTCCAGTCCGAAGTGGCCAGGAGCACTTCATTGGCTACCGGGGTGACCCTGTAGTTGCCCTGGAAGCTCTGCCACTGAGCTGGCCCTTTTCGGCTTTCCTTCTGCACCAAGAACTTGTACTCCACGTTGTAACCTTAGTTGCTGAGTTCCCAAGTCCACCCAAAAAAAAGTGTACACCTTCGGCTCTAATTATAGGGGATTCTAGTATCTCAAAAAGTTCCTAAATATAGGGGATTCTAGTATCTCAAAAAGTTCCTAATTATAGGGGATTCTAGCATCTCAAAAAGTTCCAAGAAGTGTATAAAGTGTACTCATTCAGCTGCGAAGTCACCGACAGGTAGAGGGACCGGCTTAGCGGACCTCCACTTGGGAAAGGTGTCCTTCCTGGGGGGACGAGATGAACCCTAAAAGGGCTTAGGGCTCATTCACCTTAATAGGGATTATAGTAGTAAACCCTAAACCCTAAACCCTATATGCCCCCAATTTTATAGGGCTCATTTGGTCCCCAAGGTTCGACGTCTCGAGAGGCAGGGCCATGGCGGTCTTCCAAGCCCCCAGCGCCTCGTGGCTTCCCACGACAAACACTGCGTCCCCCGGCCGGGTCTGAGAGCATGCCACCTGAGAGTCGGGTTTAGGGTTTAGGGTTTGGGGTTTAGGGTTTAGGGTTTAGGGTTTAGGGTAGCTCTCTAACTTATAGGGTCCCCCGGATACGGGTCCCCTATACTAGGGCACCTTATAAAAAAGGACCCCCCAGAAGGGACCCTAAGTAACGAACTATCCACCTCGAAGACCACGAAGCCAGCCGCGTCTGGAGTAGCTTTCGGACTGCTTTCATAGCCTGCCATGCCTGCCATGGCCACAGATCCCAGGGCTCCAAAGGCCTTAAAGGCGTCTTCGTGTGTCTCTGGGAAGTCTGTTGGCTACTTGAGCCACAAAATACTCCCGGATGCCTGGCAGTGAAGAGAAAGCATCGAGCTATGCTGGTTGCCAGTGTGAGCGTCTAACCCCAGGAAATCTGGGTGCCTGTGAGGAGCTTAGAAACAGAAGTTGCCACCTATCTCATCTATCTATCTCTATATATATATACATATACATATGAGGAAACTACATCGTTCATTAAACATATACATCTTTCTACATATCTATATATTGATACATATACATGTATATATATATACATGTCACCTATTATGGTTGCCTGATCTAAGCCCTTGACCAAGAAACCTCTACTTGCATGGCAAGCCCCGCCTTTCTGAGACTAGCGACCTCCTCCTCGCCAAGGATCTCGATCCTTGACTTGACAAGACATGTCAAGAGTGTCAAGTGCACGAATGCATTGAGTCTTCAGTGCGTGTTGATACACCTCCTTGGGGACCAAATGAACCCTAAAATTGGGGTCATATACCCCATACTAGTATAATCCCTATTAAGGCATATGAACCAGGGTTCATTTCGTCCCCAAGGCTGCTTTCAATCCCCACCAAGTCCGAGAGTACGAAGCTCACCCACCTGGCATGCCGCCGCTCGGCTGGGTAAACTGAAAGCGGGGTTTGGTGTTTCGGGTTTACCAGGATGCGCTATTACACCCTATAATCCCTGAAAAGGCCCTTTATAGGGTTCACTGTGGGGATTCTAAGGTCTAATAAACCTGGTAGAAGGTATTCGAGAGTTGCCACTGCGCGATCCTGCAGTTCGCACGAAAAGCAGCCCAGCGACATTGGTGGGACCAAATGCATCTGAGCCGTGAAGCCCTGGATCTCTCAGTAAAGAGACACACACCCTATGACGCCCGGCCCGATAGCCCCCTAAACCCTAAACCCTAAACCCTAAACCCTAAACCCTAAACCCTAAACCCTAAACCCCCATGGCCCTCCTCATTCGTGAGTGAACCAAGGAGCTCTGGGTGAGGTTTGTAAAACGCAAACTCCACCTCGGCGTACTCGATCTCCTGCAAGCACTGCAAGCACTGCTAGGCCCTGACATGGCATCCATGATCCCCAAATGAGGGTTTAGGGTTTAGGGTTTCGGGTTTCGAGACACACGATTTCGACGGCGCTAACCAGAATCTAACCCTCCCTGGTCAACACAAGGAGCTCAGCTGGTGCATATGGCTTTGGCGCATTTGAAGGTTCTCTGACATGTTCTTCCATGCAGCGTCCTATAGTTCTTTGAACTGCGAAATTACGGGGCTTTACGATAAGGAGGGACCCCGAAGATAGACCCCCAAAAGTAGGGATTCCCTTATTTTAAGGACACCCTCTAATATCGTAAACCCGCTTCTGGGAGGACGGCTTTGGCTGCTCGTCCTCATGGTTCACCCTTGGCAGGGGCTCGATGGGCTTCCGCCGCCGATCCTGGTTCTCGTCCTCCTCGTCCTCACCTGAGCGGTTCTACGATAAAGCAGGGTGGACCGCTATATTCAACCCCCCCCAAAAAAAAATAGTAGGATTCCCCCTTGTTATAATAAATCCCAATGAGGTACCCCTGAAATCCTCAACCCTAAACCCGAAGCCCCAAACCCTAAACCCTAAACCCCAAGAAGGTACCCCCGAATATCGGAATCCCGTATAAATAAGGACCCCAAGAAGGTACCCCCTGAGATCGTAAACCCCCCCGACCTTCGTTGCCTTCGTTGCTGGCATTCTGGTCACAGAGCTCACAGTATGAGGCCACGTGGTCGTCTGCCCTGGGAGCTTTGCAGGGTTTAGGGTTTAGGGTTTAGGGTTTAGGCTTTGCAGGGGGCTTCGGGGAGGCCGGGTTTAGGGTTTAGGGTTCAGGGTTTAGGGTTACGCTAGCCTGCATTGGCTAGACCAAAACTCCGGGGGATCTCTATAGCCTGCAATGAACGGCTCACTGCGCCAACCTCCTACTCTTCTTTTCGGGTCTTCGGCTTAGCCACGATCTCCAGCCTGAGTCTTGCTTATTGACCCTACATGCACTCATGTAATGACGAGACTCGGCATATCTTCCCAGGACGCCAAGGCCTGTCCAGGGCAAACGTGAGTCCCCGAAATTCTCCAGAACAACCATGTCCACCTGCGCACAGCCCACAACAATGTTGTGACAACACTGCTCTTGTCTCCCAGGTAAGGGCCAAGGGCGGTGGGAGGAGTTGGGTTCCGAGGTCCCTATAAACCCTAACCCCTCAACCCTAAGCCCATATGCCTGAAGCCTTAACAATTAGAATAGGTTTGGGGGTTATTATAACTACAAAGGGACCCAAGGGGAATATTATATGACTAGCAATTATTCCGACCCCTTTCTTAGGCTAGGGGAACCACAGGTGCCCCAGGGAAGGCTGCGGCCTTCTTCGAGAAAGCCGTGTCATCTCCAGCAGGTTCGGCAGCTTTGGCGGTGATGTCCTCCATGAAGGCATCTAAAGCATCTGCCTGCACAGGGCTTCTGGAGGATTTAGGGTTTAGGTTTTAGGGTTTAGGGCTATCAGTACAACACGTCCATCGAAAGGCGTCGTCTGCGGTGCCAGCTACAAAGCAGGCGTCAACATATTCTCAACAACGCAACTTCGCAGCATTTCTGACTGGTTCTTAGTAGGGAGTGAGGGACCACCCTTTAATAATTATATAATCTAATCCCTTAAAGGGTATACAAGGGCCCTAATTCCCTCATTCCCTAATGAGAACCAGGGGGATTTTGCTGCAGCGTGCCTCAACCTCTGCTGGTGGGCTAGACTCCTTGGCAGTCGGCGGCTCGACAACAGGAGGCTCGTCGCCCGCTTTGCCTGGTCTTCACGAGACACAAAAGAATAACACAGAACTTGCAGAGTGGTTCACAAACTTCAGTTGGCTCACACGCTCGCAGGCCAGGATTCAACCATTTTCTTCTGGTAAAAGTGATATCAGACCCACTCAATCCCGGCCGGGCCTGATGGCCGGGCATCCGAAGGCAGTGTGAGCAGCCGTTTCTTTGGGCTCGGCTCCTCAGTGCATCAAGAGAAACGGCTGACGATTGTTTCTTTTGGGCGTTGATGGTCTTGATGTAATGACGAGTCTCAAACCCTCAGGTGTAAAACGCGTCCTGTGCCCTTTGAGGCCTTTTATGTCCAATCCGTCAGCCCTACAGTCAGTGGATCAAACCCTAAACCCTAAACCCTAAACCCTAAACTCACATGGCGGGCGGGCTGCGTCGTCGCCAAAAGCAGCCAGTGTGCTTTGGCCACGACCTCGCGCCTTGCCCTTTCCAGGCATCGCCATCTTGAATCCCGACATGTTCTGCCTAAATATCTAGTTCCTTGGGGACCAAATGAACCCTAAAATTGGGGTCATATACCCTATACTAGTATAATCCCTATTAAGGCATATGAACCATAAACCCCTTTTAGGGTTCATTTCGTCCCCAAGGTTGGGGGGGGACTCAGGGGTGTTGGGAACCAGCACTTGACAACAGTTGCTGCTTTAAACTGGGGGGGGAATCTGGGGGGGCCCCAGGTCTCAGGCACTCGTCAAGGGGGGCTCTGCTCTGTGAGACCTGCTCTGTGCCTGTTCATGCTCCTGTGAACCCGGCAAGGCGTCCAAGCATCAGAGATCATCCGCGCAAATCTGGCGGCTAGCGCATAAAGCTTTCAAGGCCCATTCAAGGCGCAAACAATCCTGCACAGGCTGGTTTGTTGGCATCGGCCACTGCATGTCTTGATTCAGCGCATCTCAGTGTGCACGTGGTGCGCCTGCGCGCAGAGGAGGCCTCGTCACTGGTCTGCCCCGAGGTCTCTCCGGTCGGCGCCGATGGCCGATGACCACCCAACTTGCTGGGCACCAAGGACCAAGCCCCTGGCTGCTGCTCCGACACAAGCAATCTTCGCCTTCTTCGCCTTCTTCATCATCGGGCCACCGTGCTTGCTGCTCTCATGAAGGAGCTCCTTGCTGGCCACTGCTGCCGCTGGATGGCCTGGAACTACGGCAAGGACGATGCCAAAAAGCTACGCCGCTTCTTCAAAATTGCCAACGCTACGCCGCTTCTTCAAAATTGCTGCCGCTGGTGGCATCCGCGTGCTGCTCAGCCAAGCCACGAGACCGAACGGCTTCCCGAATGCCGCCGCCCTCGCCGCGGTGTTTGAGGCCACTCGTCCGGGACCACGAAGCCTACCAGCATGGGCAATTAGGCCTTATAATCCCCTTGTTAAGGGCCTTTGTAAGGGTACATAGGGTATCATAGCCCATGCAGGTAAGAAGCATGCATCGCACTGCAAAGCACCAGGCAAATGCCCCTTGCCACCGTGCCTCGGGAGATCTCCTCAAAGCCGCCTGCATCCACAGCCAAGACGGCCTTGGGCGCTTGGGATCTGACAATCTGAGGCACGAGGCGTTGCAGAATCGGCTCAAGAATTGATTCAGGATGGCCCTTGAACCCTCTGAAAATTATTCCAGAATACGATCCTCTTAAACCCAGTAAGGGGATATATAAAAAATATCCCGGGGGCCTACCTAGTAATAGTTGGTTTGCGAATCAATGTCCACAAGCATGTTCTCTCATATGACAAGCCCAGGCGCGACGTACTGAAAACGCTTCCACGAACGGGCCTCTTTCAAGAGCTCGCCCCGGGTCCGCAGCCGTCCGTGATCTGCATGTCTCCCTCCTGGCTGAACTTACTGTTGGTTAGTAGGGAATGGGGGAATGAGGTACCCCTATATAATCTCTTAAAGGGCAATTTATAGGGCCCTATAATTCCCTCATTCCCTGCTAATCAGTGAGCCTGGTTGAATCTGAGTTATTGGGGTTGCAAGGACGTAGCCGAGCACCACAGTGCGTATCACTGCACGTATGGGGTTTAGGGTTTATAGGGTTTATAGGGTTTAGGAGGCATTCGGCACCAGTATCCCGAGCTTACACTGCAGCAAGCCTTCGGGGACCTTTCCGCACCAGCACCTGCAAAGTGGGGCTATACGTCACTACATGGGGGTTGACGAAAATAAGGGACCCCTCTTGTAGACCCCAAATTGTAGGATTCCCTTATAACAAGGACCCCAAGAAGGTACCCCCCCCCCCCCTATTTTCGGAAACCCCCAAACGAGTCCCTTGAGAATTTTCACTTTCTTGCCTTGTCATGCGAAGTTTTTTCAAGTCTCTCAACCCTCCCGCTCCAGAGCCACGAAGAGGTGCAAGCCAGTATGGCTTCTTCAAGACCAGGAACCGGCATGTGGCCGGCAAAACCCGATCCTCCGGGCATGGCTTCTGGCTTTTGGGTGTGGACTGAGAAATCAACATGGCCACACCTGGGCCTGAACCCTAAACCCTAAACCCTATAGAACCCTAAACTCTAGAACCCTAAACCCCAAACCCTGCGTCATTAGCCGTTAGAAGTGTTGCAGGGGTCACGGGCCTTCCCGCATGAATGATAGCCATGCGCCATGAGCTGAGGCCGTGACTTCTTTACAGTACGCCGTATGGGGGTTTACGAAATTAGGGGTACCTTCCTGCATTCCTCATTAATTATAAGGGAATCCTACTATTTGGGGGTCTATTTTGGGTTCCCCTCGTAAACCTCCATATACCTGCGTCTCGAAACCAAACCCCCTAAACCCTAAACCCTAAACCCTAAACCCTAAACCCTAAACCCTAAACCCTAAACCCTAAACCCTAAACCCTAAACCCTAAACCAACTGGGCTTGAGACCCTAAACCCTAAACCCTAAACCCTAAACCCTAAACCCTAAACCCTTTTGACTCCCCCTGCAGCGAGCGGCCAGCTCGCGGAAGCGGCACCACCATCCAACCTACCAGCTGGCTGCTGTCGTTTGAAAGGCACTTTTTCGGAGCAGGTGTATATGTGCATAATATATATATAGATATATGGGTAGTTTCCTAAATTGGGGCCCCTTTTTTGGGTACCCATTATAAGGCGGCACCCTTTTATGAAGTATCGCAAAAAGGGACTATAATTTTGACAACCACCCATGTATACACATATATACACACTTGTGTATCTCCCCATATACAATGCATCTCATTGTGCATTCACATACAAGATACAGTATACAGAGCAAGCATAATCCATGATCTACCAAAACCAGGCTGTTTTATTGCCTACGCGCATGTTGTGGTGACTGAGTTGCTAAGGATCTTATAGTACAGGGATGTAGTAGAGTGACAAAAGGCCGTGTGGGGTTTGGGTTCATGGCAACAAAAAAGACCGAACTTCCGGTTCGCAGATGTGTTTACTTAGCTTGCCTTGGGCCCTTGACAACTTTGAGGCCTCCAGATCTGGGCTCAGCATCGGAATTCGGGTATGCCAGCTGTCTGGCCGTCCATGGGTTTCATCCTCAGTGGCTTTCCAGGAATGGCAGATGCGAGGGACATTTGGAGGTGCGCAGCAGAAAAAACACACGTTCTGATGACTCTTCCAAGACCAACACTTTCCCGAAATCTCCTGAGCTCAACGCCACCCACCCACCGACCCACCCACCCAGCCCCCGTCAAACTGTAAACTCCTCATGCCCATTGCCTGAGCCCTCAACCCCAAACTCAGAAGCACCTAAACCCTAAACCCTAAACCCCAAACCCTAAACCCTAAACTCAGAAGCATCGTGGAAGTAATTACCGAGGCGGCCGCCAGGGGTGCTGTGGCGGCCAGGAAGAGTCGGCCGTTCATCCAGAGCCGACTGGAGATCCTCAGGGTTCTTTCATGGGTGTTTAGGGTTTCGACTCTCACACTCGCACAAGGCCGGCAAGGCATCGGTTGGGTAAGTCTGACTAGCAGAGGCGTCTCAGAGGAGCCTGCATTGAGACCCTCCTACCCCCACAGGCCCCCCTCCGAAACGTACCCCCACAGCCATTTCACTCAAACCCTAAACCCTAAACCCTAAACCCTAAATCACCTAATCCCTGGGGCCAGCGGCGGTTCTGTTAACATTAACAAGGTGATACATCCGGTGATACATCCCTACTTTGATTCCCTTTCTGACATCTACCTTCTACAGCAGGCTCAAATCAGCACCTCCCATCATGTTTAGGGTTTAGGGGGGTTTAGGGTTTAGGGTTTAGGGTGTTTTGTTGCCACCCGCTTAGCTGACCTCTCGGAAAACTCTGCAGGGAAATAGCCTGTATATGTCTGGCTCAAGGACCTCGTCACAGTTTGGTAGTGGCCAGTTTCCGAACAGAAAGCACAATCAGCTAAGGGTTTAGGGTTTAGGGTTTAGGGGGCTGTTTCGAGTGAAGGTTTTTCCATGCTTGGAGGTTCATGGTACTTATTAACCAATTCTAACTGTACTTATAACCCAAATTCTAAACATATTAGGGCACTTAAGGGGCTTATAAGTGCGCCATAAGCACAGTTATAATAGGCTAATAAGTACCCTGAACCTCCAAGTGGGCTTCAATGGGCTTCAGGGTTCAGGAAGTTTGGGGATTAAGTGCTTTAGCAAATGTCATGTCACAAAGCAGATTCATCTCAAGAAGACACTTTCGTCTTAGTGCAAAGAAGTCTCCCCATGCTCTGCATGCGTTGACCGTTTCCAGCCACGCGAGCAGCAAGGAGGTTTCGGATGTGTGGAGTTTGCCCTCCAAACAGGGTCAGCGAAGGGTCGAGCATGGTCACTCCACCCAGGAATTTTGTGATGCCCGCTGACGTGACATGTTTTGACTACCACCTGGGCGCTGAAACCCTAAACCCTAAACCCTAAACCCTAAACCTTCGAACCCTAAACCCTAAACCCTAAACCCTAAACCCTAAACCCTAAACCCTAAACCCTAACCCTAAACCCTGAACCCTGAACCCTGAACCCTGAGGCAAGGCCCAGGCCCATCCGCAGCTGGTGGGAGAGCATGTGGCGCAACTTCCTCAAGTGGTCGATTGTAAAATCGCACCCCCTCCCTCTCTCTCCCTCTCTGTCTCTCTCTCCCCCTCTCCCCCTCCCCCTCTCCCTCTCCCCCTCTCTCCCTCTCTCTCTCCCTCTCCCTCTCTCTCTCTCTCAATCTCTCTCTCTCTCTATCTGTCCCTCCCTGGGGTCACCTACCCAATCGAGGAGAGGGGACGGGTGCCTTTCCAAGATCAGCCCCAGCGTCAATCCCAAGATATCTCGCGGGTTGGGAGCAATGAAGTCATCCCATGTCGCAACCTTGGCCGTCATCAGCTGGTGTTGCAGCCCATACCGCTTGGCAAGAACAGAAACACTAAGGTTCAGGGTGCGAAGCTGAAAACAAGCAAGCGGTGAGCGAAGCATCACACAAAATGAAGAACAGAAACAGAGGACCAGCAGACCAGGGGACGGGGGGGGACCAATAGACTAGACCTGACGACCAGCAGACCTGAGGGCAACCAGACCAAAATCTCCCCCCCGCACCCCCAAAAAAAAGAGAGAAAAACAAACTGCCGCATCAACCAATGTAGTAGGCACATCAGATTTACCAGACTACAGGCATGCTTTGGTGCCTGCTCAGGGTCTATACTTCACCGCACTTGAAGACATCATCTAGACCCAGGAGTAACCTCGGAACGACCAGGGGTGCCCTGTTGGGTTTTAAGGAGATTATATTAGGGAACCCAGACCCTCAAAAAAGGGAATAAGGGCCTGCTTCGGGTCCGAGTCATAAAGAGCAGCATGAAGCCTCGTCCCTGGCTGCCAAGTAAAACTTCACCGCCACTTCGAGGTGCAGAAACTGAGGTGAACTTTGATCCGGCTGCAAGATGTAGTCCACCTCACCCTGCGCGCCCAGGAGACAGGGCATGGGTGGAGAGGCAGAGTAGGGTTTAGGGTTTAGGGTTTAGGGTTTAAGGGTTAAGGGTTTAGGGTTTAGGGTTTAGGACGAAAGGCTTTCTGCACAACTTGTTTGGAGGTTCAGGGTACTTACTAACCAATTCTAGCTGTACTTAGAACCCACTTATACGCTCCCTTAAGTGCCCGAATGTGGTTATAATTTGGGTTATAAGAGCAGTTGCAATTGGTTAATAAGTACCGTGAACCTTCTCAAGTGAAGGTGTTTCATGGCTGCCAGGCTCTGTTTGTTTGTTTGCTAAGTTGGGTCCCCTCCTAGAAGATGTTCGTGGCTTGCCTGGCTCCGCGCCAAGGCTACAGTTTGCGCGAGGGAACGCTTTTTCCTTGCATTTCTCACCATTTCTCCCTATCTCTATACCCCCTTTGCGTTGCAAGACGTCCGGCTTCCGAGAGTGGGCCGCTGAGCTTGCGAAGATCGCTTGGTCATCACTGCGCGATGCAGAAAGAAGTCTCTGCGCATTCTGCCTTAAAGAGCCTTGGCTTGGGCTTCAGCTCCTAAACCCTAAACCCTAAACTCTAAACCCTAAACCCTACACCCTAAACCCTAAACCCTAAACCCTTGGGAGGGCTTCGCTTCGTTTGACGTCCTGGATCGGCTGCCGCATCTTCGTGGGCCGCAGGGGAACGGCCGGGAAGCCCGGGGCGTAGGCGAACCTTGCCAGGGTTCAGGGTTCAGGGTTCAGGGTTTAGGGTTCAGGGTTAGGGTGTAGGGTTTAGGGTTTATAGGGTTTAGGGTTTCTAGCGAAGCTACTGGAGCTGCGCTCACAGGCACCAGGAGTCAAGGAGACATCGGGAGGAAGGAAGGAGAAGGCCTCCTGGCCACAAAGCTTTGTTTCGAAGCACAGGCGCTATGCCAGGAGTCTTGCCTGGCCCTGCCCGTATAATAATAGTGTTTACCATGATGATGATGATTATTATTATTATTGTCATCATAATAATAATAATCATAGTCATTATAATCATCATAATTCGAATCAATCCCAAAAAGGAAAGCCTGCCATGGATTGCTTGGTAGCTCCAGCTCTTCACTGACAGACACATCCTCGAAGAGTACCTGGTCAGCACGGCCACTCAGAGGCTCCCACCCCTAACAATGGTTTAGGGTTTAGGGTTTAGGGTTTAGGGTTTAGGGTTTATGGGCGCGTTTCACCTGGCAATGCAGACCATCTTCATGAATAAGCCTTCAAAGCCCCCCCCAAGGTGCAAGCACCCAAAACCCTAAAACCTAAACCCTAAACCCTAAAACCTAAACCCTAAACCCTAAACCCTAAAACCTAAACCCTAAACCCTAAAAGAACACCAAAGGGCAAGGGGCATGTCCGTCCATGCGGTCACTGTCCGGAGGCGAGCTCGGCCTGTGGGACGCTGGTCTGCGCACGCCTTGCGCCGAGGTCAAGGTCGCCTCGACCTTCGGAGGGGCTGCTGCAAACCTTGGGGACCAAATGAACCCTAAAATTGGGGGTCATATACCCTATACTACTATAATCCCTATTAAGGCATATGAACCATAAACCCTTTTAGGGTTCATTTCGTCCCCAAGGAAGGGGGGGGACTCAGGTTCGAACTTCCAAGATGGAACGCAAAGTCAAGACTTCAGAGTCCAAGTGAAAGAATAGTTCGTCCTGCCATGTAGAACAGATTTGGTGGGAAAGGCCACTTTCAAGACTGAACACATCAACAAATCATCAAAACACACAGTATACACCTCCACATGGCGAAATTCACCTGTGGCAGTCAAGCGGTTGCAGCCGGCAAAAACCTGCGAGCTGCTTCACTTATTGCGTAGGGATCAGAGGCTTTGATCCAAGCTGCTGGCAAAGGGAATGCTTCCCGGGATCTGCCGCGCTTGATCTTGAAGCTGATGCGAAGCTGGCCACCTGAGACCGGGATGAGTGCAGAAGGACGGGATTTAAAGAACTCAAACGGGGCACTCAAACGGGGCCATCATCTCCATAATTTACAGTATTTGAAAAGTTCAATTGAATCGCCATTTAGTTGTTTGGGAAACGAATGAAGCCTTTGAATGCATGGACTCTTTTCTATTATATAAAAACAGGAGCTAAATAGACCCGAAAGGCCTCCCTCGCATAGAACTAAATAGAATGGAAAAATAATAGAAAAATATACATATATATACACGTATATATATATATATATAAATAGACACCTGTTCATACGCACATATGTGCGTGCGAACTTGTGCGCATCGTGCTAGGGCATGACGCAAGAGAGTCTTCTACATGAGGGCCGCCGCGGGTCCCTTTTGGGTTTTGGCACCCCGCGCCTTCAAGGAAAGCTGCTTCGTGGATGCTGCAGAAGAAATCCACATCCAGGGACGTTTTCAGAGGAGGCTTGAAGCGCCTGGAGTAGGCATTTGTGTTAGATAGTTCTCTACATTCGGGTCCCTTTTTTGGGATCCCCTCTTTAGAGGGTGCCGCCTTTGTCATGGGTACCCAACACGGTACCCTCAGATATACCCAGATATGACGAAGCCGCTGGCCGAAGGCGATTTTTGGCCTCTCAACCGCCATGGACTGCGTGGGACTCCCCTGAACCCTAAACCCTAAACCCTAAACTCTAAACCCTAAACCCTAAACCAGCAAACCTCTACAACCATGGACCCATGCCCCCTGCCATGGAACCCTTGATGGACCCACGAACCGGGCGAAGCCCTTCGAATCCGCGGACCGTCTGGCTTCTTCTGTGTGGGTTTCCGCAATTCGGGGCGCACCATATGGGAACCGAATATGAAGGAATTTTACTATTTGGGGGGTCTATGTTAAGGGTCCTTTATTTTCGTAAACCGACTTCTGTCTAGACCGCATGGCAAAACCTTGTTCATTACATATGTGTACCTCCTCTGGATCCTCTGGACTCGATATGCACCCCAATCCACCCCTACGAACTGTTATAAGACCCCGATGACCATCTGCACTGGGCCAGGCCGGTGCGCTCGAGCGTGAATGTTGGAATGGGTATGTTGGGCAACTTACATTATACCAGGCAACTGTTGAAACACTACAAGGGCGAAGTATTGGCAAGCTTGACGATCCCTGTATCGTAGGCTTCGACTCTATCACTGGTGAGCGAGGGTCGTGGCGCGGTATTTCTGCGTAAGTCAGAGCCCACATCTGCCAACGTGAAACCCTCCTCTCGTGTCTAAGAAGGGCCATAACTCAGGTTTAGGGTTTAGGGTTGAGGGAGTTTGGGGGTTGAAATCTGAGAGTAAGGGGAGTTTAGGGTTGTGGCTCAAGGTGGTTTGGGGCTTAACGCTTAGGGGTGTCAGGGACGCAGTAAGAGGGCAAGCCCACATTGACCTGTCTCATGTGCAAAACTGCCTAGGTCAAGGACTGGTGCGCATAAAAACCCCAAAACCCCCAAATCACAAAATCCCAAACCCTAAACTCTAAAAACTAAACCCTAAACCCTACAGGTGCCCCTATCAAGGGCTTTTAAGGTTGGCGGCTGCTGCTCCATGCGCCTGACCACGTCCCCAGCCGAGGCAGCTGGACTTGCGTTCCGCTGTTTCGTCTCCTCTGCCCAAGGGCCAGGCTTGGGGCATTGTGCGGACTTACAGCGGTTTAGGGTTTAGGGTTTAGGGTTTAGGGTTTAGGGTTTAGGGTTTCGGGTTTAGGGTTTAGGGTTTAGGGTTTAGGGTGTAGGGCGGTCTAGGGTTCAGGGTTACAGCTGTAGGCTGCATAGGGCTCGCAGCTTTATGATCCACTCGAAAGGTTCCGCTTCCCTCCACGGCGACCAAGGGCATGCAACTCTGGTGCCTGGTGTGAGCGCCGCCTGATCGTTTAGGGTCTGTTGAGGCGCCTGGTTAACCCCAAACCCTATAAACCAGGGTTTAGGGTTTAGGGTTTAGGGTTAGGGCTTAGGGTGGTATCGCGGTTCTTCCACAAAATCTCCCTAAACCCAGGGACTCGACCGCCTTGTCAAAACCCTTCATGGAAAAGAGCGGAAGCAAGAATGAAGGGTACCGAATTCCCTCATGCCCTACTACAAACAAGTAAGGCAACCCCTTCTCCAATGCGATTGAATGTACTTCTTTCGTTTGCAGGGGCTTACATGAGAACCGAAGCCTAAAACGAAATAAGGGCTCACCCTGAGCCCTGGGTCCTGGGTGGGTTGATTGTAAGAATAGATCGATGACGCCTTTGCTTGCCCTTCGCCCTTGCTGCTCAAAGGTTGACCCACGAGGCTCTTCATCTCTCTAGTGCTATTCCCCTCGGCGGACCCCACGTTCGTTCGATGCTGGTCCATGCTGCAAGTAAGCTCTACCCTAGACATGCTTCATCTGCGCATGGCATCTGCTGATGGTTTCCTTCTACCAGTTCTGGCATGTTCTCCATGTCTCGAACTGACTTTGGTAATGATTTGCCTCAGTCTGGGTGACACAGTGAGCAGAACCTGTTGCACCCGTGTTCGTGGTGGGATGGGCTGGCCTCACGCTATTCACGTTTGCCAAAACAGGCCTCGTCTCGCAATATACGCCTGCAAAAAACCATTCACCCCAAAGACTCTAAACCCTTAACCCTTTTTGAACCCAGACTCCTGAAGTCAGCTGGGAACCCTAAACCCCAAACCTCAAACCCTAAACCCGAAACCCTAACCCTAAACCCTAAACCCTAAACCCTAAACCCTAAACCCTAAACCCTAAACCCTAACCCTAAACCCTAAACCTAAACCCTAAACCCTAAACCCAACTCTGACGGCTCCTTCGGGATGGGCTCACTGTACAAGGCCACCTCCACTTTCCCCAGCTCCGCCAGAGCAAAGTGCACAAGGGACTCGTAGTAGTGACCTCTGAGGGTTTGGGTTTAGGGTTTAGGGTTTAGGGTTCAGGGTTCAGGGTTCAGGGTTTAGGGTTTAGGGTTTAAGTTTTTTTGGGTTTAGGGTTTAGGGCTGTCTGACCTTGGAGGTCCAGGGTACTTGTTAACCAGTGATAACTGTACTTATAACCGCTTATAAGCCCCTTAAGTGGCCTAATATGGTGACATTTTGGGTTATACGTACAGTTATAATTGGTTGAACCTTCAAGTGGGGGATAGGATTAGGGATGATTAGGGCCGGGGGACCCTTGCAGATATAGACCCTTGCAATCAGGTCCCTGCTTCCCTTTCAAAGGTCCCCCTAATTCTACCTAGGATGACCTGTCTGACCGATGCTTTGGGTATTTGTTTTCGCTCCCGCAAAGCTGGCCGAACCGCACGGCATTAGGGTTTAGGGTTGAGGGACCCCGAGACCCTTCAACACAGGGGATAGGATTCGCGGGACCCTTGGGGACATAGACCCTCTGGATAAGGTCCCCGCTTAAGAGAGCCAGAAGAGGGTTAGGAAGGGTCACCTTTTAAGGGTCCCCCTTATCCTACCTAGGACGAAACTTGAAACTTTCCAGTCCCCAAGGAGTGGGCTTCGGATGTACCTCATATGCCCCGCTCTGATGGTGCACGCCGTGGAAGTGTGTGCAGCACATGTCCCCGCAGTACACAATAAGAGACCATGTATTGTATGTCTAGAAACAAAATACATCACACATCTAAACATACTGATCATACCAATCGCAAGAACAATAATAAGAGTAGCATCCAAGTTGTAAAGTAGCACTCCCCCACGCCAGAACCCGCAACCATTGAAATCATTCTCGTAGCTCAGTCCCGGTCGCCCACAAATCGCGATCCGGAGCGGTCGTGAGAGGTGAGCCATGCGTCCAGTGGCCGGGGATCTGCATCCAAAGCCAGCCTTTGGGGTTTGGGGTTTGGGGTTTGGGGTTTAGGGGGTTCACCAAAGCCAGCCTTTGCTCGAATCAGGGGGCTTGATAGGCAAAGCCGAGTTGCTGAGTACCCTGGGCCAAAAAAAGTTAACCTGTAAATTATGGTAGGGTTATATTTTCCCCAAATGGTTCAAGGTTACCTACTCAGCCCCCACGTCGCCGATAGAAGCCCTTACTGTGGAGTGTTGCATACCACATGGCCCCAGTGTGCTGTCACAAAGCCTTGTCACGAAATCCTGGCCCGTGTTCCACGCCAATGGATACCGCCACTTCGAGCTGTTATTCCGATATTTGTTGTTGTAGCAGTGCACTAGATGCATCATGCATCGGGCTTGGTAATGTATACGAAAAAGGCTCTGGCAGTAGGGATAGTAGGAGTTTGGGTAAGAAAATACATATTGCAATGCTAAGAGAAAAGCAACATTTCGGGGTAGCAATCGTGACCGAGGCGTGATTGAGACAATCCCAAGTTATACACATACACATATGTATATATATATATATACACATATGTGCGTGTGTGTACGTACGTATGTAGAATATCTGCAGCGGAAAAAGTGTGCCCGGCTTGCATGCGGGATGCAGACCCTCCGACACGTCTCCCAGGAGATCCTGGCGCTTCTTTGTTGCCAGCCGACTAGCCACGGCTGACACTGGCTTAGGGTTTAGGGACCAGTTGAAATAATGGTACGGTTTCACATGGTCACTTCTCTAAATTGTGGTCCTTTTGGGGGACGATCAAATAAAGAGGGTAGCCAGCAAGGGACCATAATCTTGAGAACTGACCGTTTGGGCTTCGAGTGTATGCAGTTGGGAGGGTGCGCTATCCACTCGGCCCCAATATACGAGTCGTTGGACAGTCAGGCCTTCATGGCAGCGTCCGTGAAGACTTCGTGGCCGAAAGTTGCCTCACTGGGTGAAGTGTCCCTAAACCCTAAACCCTAAACCCTAAACCCTAAACCCTAAACCCTGTTCCGAAGACACCATGCATGCGAAACTTCGGCCCTGCATTCGCTGGCTCTTGGCCCCCACGGTTGGGGGCCTCTGGCCTCTGAGCGCAATCCCCACTCTCCATTAGGGTTTAGGGTTTAGGGTTTAGGGTTTAGTGTTTAGGGTTTAGGGCCACTCCCACACCCTCCCAAGCCCTCAAACTCTGCCGTGAGGTCTGCGAAGCGGTGAGCTGCCCAACTATTTTTCTTGCTTGGCTGCATCTGCGTCGCAGCAGAGACCTGGTGCCAACACCGACCACGCCACATCACCTCGGCCCCACAGGTGCTGGGCCGACGTCTCAACACCTCTTATAAGCACTCTCTGTGGCTTCTGTGCATAGTCTGATGTGGCAGTCTCTTGAAGACTGGGTGTGGAGGTCCTTGAGCAAGGTGCCAACCATGGGAAGCTTCCATATTAGCTGTTACAGAAGACGCATAAGCCCCAGAAATGAAGAACCTCAGCGCGGGGAAAAGGGGGACATGCGGGGACAAGGGCTCTACAATATCCAACGATGCATAATGAGCTCACTGCATGTGCATCCATTCCTACGCAGGTGGTTGTTTGCTATGTAGCTTCTTGGACTTTTGAACCAGAAGCCCCTTTCTTCGGAGTAAGGCGTCTTGGCGAACTTTGGCCAGAACGGATTCGTCGGCGAGGTGCTATGAGCAGGCCGCGCACTCTATCTGCACAGGTGGCGAAGAATACCAGGCTGTGCCTACTGCACGGTGTCCGTCGTCCTCCCATGCAGCCCTGCGCGAAAACCAGTCGTGAGGATGAAGTCGACGGAATCAACCAAGAAAGGGCCATGTCGCACCCCGCCCCGCCCCCCATGTCGGCTGCGCTTTTTTGGTTCATGTCATCCTGCCATGGAGTCATGAACTCTTCATGACTGCCCGCAGGTCGCCATATACACAGGCCGGCCAGGGCCTGCAAAAAGTCCTGGGTCATGATGTGTGGCCCCTGCGGACTTCGGGGCGAGGGCGGCAGCGTTCGTCAGAAACACCTCTTCCACTGATCTTTCCAGAATCGCATCCTCGGATTCCCGAAAGCAAGATGTGTTCATCGTGATTCTGCCACCCAGAGACTCCAATGCCCTTCAATTAAGGAAGGTTCCTTCTATTCAACCATGTAAACGGAACTCTATTACATGTCAAAGAACATTCCTCAAGTTATGGGTATCGGTATTGGGGTCCGCTTTTAGGGGTTTGGCCCGAGAAGGCCGTTTCTGCAAACTAGGCTCTTATAGAGATGCCAAATCCGAAACTCTATAAGCCCTCCATCGCTCATGCCTGCACCGATGCAAGGCTGCACTGGTGGCTTGACGTAACCCAGGAGTGTCAGGGAAAGAAGAAAAAAAGGCCTTGAATTCTTGGGTACAGAAGCCATATGGGCAGGGAGTACGCCCTTTTTCTACCCCAAATAGACTAGAACCTCTTTTAAGGGGACAGTCAAAAGGAGGTACCCCTATTTCGCAAACCCTCCAATTTAGGAACCAGAAAGAAAACCAGCACCCCCTGACATGTACCCCAGTTTAGGGTTTAGGGTTTAGGTTTTGGGGCATGTACCCCAGGCCAAGGGGCGTGAGCTTCTCTAGATGCTCCGCAGGATCCTCAAGCCTGCAGGAGACTCTGCAGGAACGGCATTCTACTACGTATATGGGTATATAGTATATTGCACCAGTTCTTGTATCACTATATTGTTACAGTAGAATATTGGAAGGCTATTAGTATACATAGCACCATATTCTTGTATCATATAGTATCATTAACCATCGGGGTATTCTTGTATCATTGTATTGTTGGAGTAGTATATGAGAAGGCCAGCAATGCATTGCAAGAGAGCTGCTGCAATTGTCTAGGAGGAACTTTTCGGTCAGGACCCTTCGTTTGCAACCCTAAGTAGCAGACTCGCTAAACCTGTGTTTGTGTTCAAAAGATGGGTGCTGCGGGTAACTTTTGGTCCAAGGCCTCATCACGACTTTTGTTGTAATTAACAATGGAAACGGCCGTGGTCCTATGGTGCGTGGGGCTTTTCGTCGAACTGACCTTTGGACCAAATCAGAGCCTACATGGGTCACGTCGTCCGACAGTGTCTCCGACTGCGCGAGGTCACTCCGACGCACGCAACACGCAAGCACCCCCAACACTTGGAGGTTCATGGGTACTTATTAACCCCATTAGAAGCATACCTCTAACCTACTTAGGGGACTTCGGGGGCTTGTAAGTCTAGTTATAATTGGAGTTATAAGTACCCCTGAACCTCCAAGCACCCTCTGAACATCCGATTGCCTCGATAGCACTTCTTCCAGCCGTTCGGGTGAAAGATCCTCTGGGGCCGGAATGTAGCTCGGGCCATCTGCACAAAGCAAGCACTTGGAGGTTCAGGGCACTTCTTAACCAATTATAACAGTACTTATAACCCACTTATAGGCCCCTTAAGTGCCCTAACATGGTTATAACCTCCAGGCAGGACAACATGGCTTTGATGCCTCTTCCCGACCCTGATCGGGTGCCTTTTTGTGGCGAAGGATCCATCCGCGGGTGCGCTGACAACAGCATGCAACGACTCACGAACATCAAGTTGGGCATCCTCCAGCAGCAAACCACAACATGCCTTACGTAGCTATAGCCGTATATCTACACCTACACCATCCCCGTGGGCACACCTCAACACAAAAAAAAACAAAAAACTCGACTGCCGGGCCTGCAAATAACCGCTGGTCGAAAGCCTCATCTGGCGCAACCAGCCTTAGCGGTCCCCCAGCCGCAAACACAAGGTATGCTCAAGGGCAACTGGAATGTTGAGATGCTCCCCCTTCTGCTAACAGAACAGTCCTCAGTCCTTAATTTATAGTACCCCGAATTATGATCCCTATCAAGGACTGTTAGTATAAGAGGGAACATTCCAACTGGAATGGTTGAAAAAGCATCTCTCTCCACATCCCCATCACGGCAATTCTTGCACATCCCCGCTGGATCTGCGGGCAGGCTGTGTTTAGCAACGATCGTCCAAAGGCCCGCTTGTGACACAACTCTGCATGTTGGTAGCATCTGCCAAAAACGAACATGTCCTTGGGGACCAAATGAACCCTAAAATTGGGGTCATATACCCCAGACTACCATAATTCCCTATTAAGGTATATGAACCATAAACCCTTTTAGGGTTCATTTCGTCCCCCAGGGGGTTGTGCCTGTGTAGAACATGTTTCATTTATCGTCAGCGAGCCAGACCTCGGCCTTGCCGTGGGCTTCGCCACACAAAAAGATCAACTCGCATCGTTGCTAACTGCCCCCGACACCATAAACCAGCGCCTCCTCGAACCCAAGAACCCACTCTATATATATATATATATATACACATATATATATATATATATCTCTTTAAATTTATCTTTCTGTATATACATATGCACTAGTTACAGTATGTACGCCTACGCCTTTCTCAGCCTTTCTCCTGTAAGTTCAAGGCGACCTCTGCAGCTGCGTAGCGGCACTGTACCGAGTGCGAGGGCTTGCCAGGTACGGCCGCAGTCATAGCCGCGACCAGGAGGGGAAAGGATGCCTCAAGGGGGAGGAGTCTGGGGCTTAGGGTTTAGGGTTTTAGGGTTTAGGGTTTATTAGGGTTTTAGGGTTTTAGGGTTTTAGGGTTTTAGGATTTTAGGGTTTTAGGGTTTTAGGGTTTGGGGTTTAGGGTTTGGGGTTTACAGGGCAGGCAGGGGGTAACAGCTCGGGAATCACGCACAATGCAAGGCATCGCGGCAGCTGTGGGGGGGGGGGGGGGGGGGGGGGAATTTCTGCGATGCTGTGCGCCATAGCTTGAGTTTTCGATTTTCGGTGCAAGTAGTTTGGGCTGCCAGTATATATGTATATATATATATATAGATATATATATACACACTATATTCAGACTATATGTATATATATATATACACATAGCATTCAACTCTCAATTATCCGATTTCAGTACCGACAGACTGAAACAGCGGATGTTGTCCTTCCGAGATGCTTTGGTGCTGACTGACCAGCGCCAGGAATGATGGATATGGCAACGACCCTGAAACAATGTGCACCGACTCGGAGTAGCGCGTGTCCGAAAGCACGTCCTTGGCACATCGCGTGCAACACCAAGTCCTTGTTTTAATAGCAAATACAGTACCTGTTTTGGATTGTTTTGGCGTTGTCATCTGAAGAAGCAGCCCCACCCGTAGCAAACCCTATGACCCCTCGCAAGGAATCAACAAAAAGCCGAGATGCCAAGTATCGCCTCCGCAGCCGGTTGTGCAGCCTGCACAGGGAAGGAACTGACCCAGACCTTTCCCACCCATCCCTGGCATGGAGTTGCAGAAGTCCCACGGAGACCCAAGACGAGAGCAAGACTCCACGCAAAGCCCAGGAAGCTGATTGAGTCACAGCAAGGAGTGAATGACATGAGCAGGCCGCATGATGCACAACATGCACGTCGCCCTGCGAGGTCGAGATCGCATGCGTTGCTTCGCCGCCCAGTTTTCTGTTGATTCCCATGTCACGACAAAGCCGTCTGCCCGAAGCAGCGCGTGTTGCTGCTACGCCTGCTTCCAGCACAACAGCAGTGACTGCGTCACCGTCTCGTAGCCCTGCATGTATCATGGTCCCACGCCCTTCTTGAGAGAGTGCGCAACACAACGCGCAATGGTCCCCCCCCCCCTCCCCCCTTCACCATGAAAGAAAGAGAACGAGACGCACTATCCCCTTGTTCAACTGACGAGTTAGAATAGAACTTCCCCTAAACCCTAAACCCTAAACCCTAAACCCTAAACCCTAAACCCTAAACCCTTCAAGCATCTTCAAAGGGGCCTCATCGGCGCAATCAGGAGCCGGCGATCTCGGAGTTCCCACGGGCTTGCCTTCAGCCGGACTTGCTCCAACAGCGCCTCCGCCGTAAGGCCTCAACCAGGATGGGCTATTAGGCCTTAAACTCCCCATAATGAACCCTTATAAATGATAAAGGGCCTTTTGAGGGATTATGGGGCATAATCGCCCAAACTGGAAGAGGTGGCTTTGCAAAAAGGCAGGCGCCTGCACTTCGAAATCATTCCAAATGGGGGTTTGCGAAATGAGGGGACCCCCAACATGGGATAGGATTCCCTTACAATAAGGACCCCAAGAAGGTACCCCCAATTTCGGAACCCCGCAAATGCCAAATGATCCTAGGCAACCCCCCAAAAAGCCGCGAGCCTAGTGGCAGCGGGCGGAAGAGATCTTGAAGCCTGGTCAGGCCAGGGATCGGCTGT